CACTGGCAAGAGTTTCACCCATGAGCGCATCACGTGAGTGCTGTGCTGCATTGCATTCTTGTTCGGAGATGGTTATCTCCGAGTGCAGTTTGCATGCTTTCCCTTATCGTCAGTACGCAGCCCTGTGAGCGATGCTTTCTTTGGTCACATGAATGAAAAGTAGACACCGCGCTACCACGAGTTACAAGAGTTCCTGGATGTGCGACTTGATAGCTTCTAGAACATGAGAAAAATGATCGACTCAATGCATGAACAATCCCACAGCAAGTAAACACGCGCACAGGATTCAGCAATCCAAATTAATTCTAGCACACAAACACAAGAAAAGCTTTTTTGACCAGGGAAGCAACAAATTCTCGAGGAAGCCCAAGAGACACATGCTAGAAGCCATCCTAAACGTACATTGCACGCACGGTTAGGATGCGTGCCGCGAAAGTTTCAAGGGCCTAAGCGCGTTTGATGAGAAGCCTCGCTGTTTGGATCGCTTCAGGCGTCGGGCTTTGGCCCTGTGGCCCCTGTCACGGCCAAGGATCATTGCGCGAAGGAGTTTTGGAGGCGATTCCATTGCAAAAAGACAATGTGTCCAAGCAGCAACTAGGGAGCCTATTGAATGGTGACTTCCTCTTGAAGCGTCTCTTCAAAATCGTGCAAAGAGGGTCTTCTGTTTCAAGACACCCCCCCAAATGTGAATTTTCGGACATGAGGTTCGGTGAACGTATCCAATAGGCTATGACCCAGCTGGGAGGGCGGAGGGGCAAAAGAACAGAGAACACACATTTTGTCATGCCTTTTATCAACTTTTATGGTGACCGCATTTTGACCGTGCCTACTGTATTGGTTTTTTGCCGCTCACGGCCTCGAAATCCTTTGCGCATGCGGTCCGTGTTTTGTGCTGCGCTTCCGGCAATATGGAGTCTCACCAAGCCGCGCGCGACCAGTCATGCCAGACAAGGCTCTCAAAGTCAGCATCAAATTCAAGAGCCCGAGGGGCAGTGACTGGCTTCCTAGATGTGTTGGAGAGCTTGGATCCTGGCATTGCTGGCTGCTGAGGCAGTATCCATGCGCATTTCATGGGGGGTCGGCGCGATTATGATCTGACAGATGACATGTGCTGAGTCGATACATTGCGCATGCATGGATCAGGAGAGTCATGACCACCCCGACCCCCGGGGCTTTGGCCCTTTCTATGGCCCCTGTCACGGCCAACGATTCGACGATCATTGTATGCGCGAAGGAGTTTTGAGGGTGGCGAGTGAATTGCCAAAAAAAGGTCTCCGCCAAGCAGCGAAGTGTCTCTTCAACAAAGCGTGTCAGAGGGTCTCCGGTTTCAAGACACCCCCAAATGTAAACTTTCGGACATCAGGTTCGGTGAACGTATCCGGTAGGCTATGACCAATCTGGGAGAGTGGAGGGGCAAAAGAACAGAGAACACACACATGTTATGCCTTTTATTAACTTTTATGGTGACCGCATTTTGACAGTGCCTACAGTATTGGCTTTTTGCCGCTCACGGCCTCGAAATCCTTTGCGCGTGCAGTTCCTTTTTGAGGAGGCGCTGGACGCAATATGGAGTCTCACATCCGCGAGCGACCAGTCATGCCAGACAACGCTCTCAAAGTCTGCATCAAATTCAAGAGCCCAAGAGGCATTGCCTGGCTTACTGGGTTTGTTGGAGAGCTTGGATCCTGGCATTGCTGGCTGCTGAGGCAGAATCCATGCGCGTTTCATGGGGGGTCGGCGCGATTATGATCTGACAGATGGCATGTGCTGAGTCGATACATAGCGCACGCATGGATCAGGAGAGTCATGACCACCCCGACCCCCGGGGCTTTGGCCCTTTCTATGGCCCCTGTCACGGCCAACGATTCGACGATCATTGCATGCGCGAAGGAGTTTTGAGGGTGGCGTGTGAATTGCAACAACGATGTCTCCGCCAAGCAGCAACTAGGGAGCCTATGGAATGGTGACTTCCTCTTCAAGTGCCTCTTCAATAAAGCGTGCAAGAGGGGTCGCCTGTTTTAAGACACCCCCAAATGTAAGCTTTCGGACATGAGGTTCGGTGAACGTATCCGATAGGCTATCACCAATCTGGGAGGGCGGAGAACAGAGAACACATATTTTTTGATGCGTTTATCAACTTTACTGGTGACCTCATTTTGACCGTGCCTAGTTAGTTAATTAGTGGTTTCTTCCAGACACGGCCTCGAAATTCATTTCGCGTGCAGTACCTAGTCCTTCTTTTGCGAGGCGCTGGACAAAGCAATATGGAGTCTCACAGCGTGCGACCAGTCATGCCAGACAAGGCTCTCCAAGTCAGCATCAAATTCAACTGCCCGAGGGGCAGTGACTGGGTTCCTGGATGTGTTGGAGAGCTTATGCGCATTTCATGGGGGGTCGGTGCGATTATGATCTGACAGATGGCATGCGCTGAGTCGATACATTGCGCACGCACAGATCAGGAGAGTCACTACCACCCCGACCCCCCCGGGGCTTTGGCCCTTTCTATGGCCCCTGTCACGGCCAACGATTCGACGATCATTGCATGCGCGAAGGAGTTTTGGAGGTGGCGAACAACGATGTCTCCGCCAAGCAGCAACTAGGGAGCGTATGGAATGGTGACTTCCTCTTCAAGTGTCTCTTCAATAAAGCGTGCAAGAGGGGTCGCCTGTTTTAAGACACCCCCAAATGTAAACTTTCGGACATGGGGTGCGGTGAACATATCCGGCAGCTATGACCAATCTGGGAGGGCGGAGGGGCAACAGAACAGAGAACACACATTTTATCATGCCTTTTATCAACTTTTAAGGTGACCGCATTTTGACCGTGCCTACTGTATGGGCTTTTTGCCGCTCACGGCCTCGAAATCCTTTGCGCGTGCAGTTCCTTTTTGAGGAGGCGCTGGACGCAATATGGAGTCTCACATCCGCGTGCGACCAGTCATGCCAGACAACGCTCTCAAAGTCTGCATCAAATTCAAGAGCCCAAGCGGCTTTGCCTGGCTTACTGGGTTTGTTGGAGAGCTTGGATCCTGGCATTGCTGGCTGCTGAGGCAGAATCCATGCGCGTTTCATGGGGGGTCGGTGCGATTGTGTTTTGACAATTCTCAAGAGCCACACAAGCACTGATTAGGAGAGACACGACCACCCCTACCCCCTGGGCTTTCATGTGCCAAGGAGTTTTGGAGGCGACGTTTCCATTGCAAAAAAACATGTATTTCCCGAGCAGCAACTCGAGCCTATTGAATGGTGGCTTCAGTAAATCTGGGAGGGCAGGGAGGGGGATGGGGTGCACTACTAATGTCCCGCAAAAAGAACGGGGACACTCATTTTGTCAAGCCTTTTATGGTGACCGCATGACCGTGCCTATTTTTTTCCCCCAGACACGGCCTCGAAATCCTTTGCGCGTGCAGTCCTTCTTTCAGGAGGCGCTGGACGAAGCAATATGGAGTCTTACAGAGCCGCGTGCGACCAGTCATGCCAGACAACGCTCTCAAAGTCAGCATCAAATTCAAGAGCCCAAGGGGCAGTGCCTGTCAGTGCTACGCAAACGCTTTTGGAACGATTTGAGGGCACCTGCCTAGCTGCATTTGTTGGAAACCCTTTAATTGTGCATGGCTGGCTGCCATGTCAGCATCCCAATCACATCGGTGTGATTGTGATTTGTTGCTTGCCCTCGGCAGCGCTACCCGCTGCAACAGCCACAGGATGACGTTGCTGACCGATTGGCAGTTGTTGGGCTTTCTTTGCGATGGCCTTGGCTGGCCACTGGGTCCAGTCTGGCCTGTGGCTGGCCGAATTCCGGGCAAAGCAAGCATGCTTCCGGAGCATGTCTGGCATGTGAGCTGAGAGTCTATCGAGCATGTCTGGCAGCGAGGACATATTTTGAGAGCAACCCTCCGGCCACAGCAGAGTTTTCATCCCCTCCCCTCACGCGGCTTATGTGCAAGATACTCGTACACTGGTGATCTTCTTTGCGGTGTGGAAGAGCCAACCATTGCAAGCACGTTCGAAGAGTAGGAAAAGCGACAAGCAGCGCGAGACTTGCGCGATGTTTGAGATATTGTTTCGACGCAAACTATTTGTAGTGATGCCCTGGAAGAGCGCTTTTATGGAGATGTCGTGCTGGCAGTGGGTGCCCGAGGATGGTTCGGCGCGACGGCGGCAACTTGTTCAGATGTCTTGCGGTGTTCAAAGCATCGGTGAGCAGCATTCCCAGCATGCCCAGAGTTGTTTCCCTGTGCACTTTCGTCAAAGTCCCCCGGCCAATATATTCAAAAACGCCTACTAGTTTTATTTCACGCAACATACGCAACCTCAAAGGGTACCCTCGAAAAGTACACATCTAGATGGTTGCGGTTGCGTTGTATGTATATCTCAACGTACTCCGTCCAGCTGAGACAGAGCAGCCAGATCCACAAGACGTTTCCTGGCACAAAAAGGCCCGACAGCCCAAGTTGAAGTGAACGGCTCTACCTCAGTTTTTGTTTTTTAGTAAACACTGCTTTGCTACCTTGAATTGACCAGCAATGCTGCCCAACATGGCTACCAGCAGCCATGTGCGCAGATGGGCAATTGCCCTCCTTGGTGAGTGTTGGATTTGCGCCTCAGCTTCCAAGGCTTGAGATATGGGTACGGGTCAAAATTAAACCACCAGGGGACCGCAGGTTTTAGTCCATGTTTCCATTTATTAGCGTTCCATTTTGGGGTCACCCTATCTTTGACCCACAGCCATATGACACGGTCTTCACCAATTCCTCGACATTAAGACAAAGCTGAGACCGGCGCAGATTCCTCAAATGAATCATGGAAGTGTAGAAGACGAGATCCTTGTTCATCTTGAAGCAAACCCAGCCCAAGGATCGGTTTACGGTGCACATGTTCTGAGGTTTCTTACAATGGAAGGTTTTCTGATAATTTCTGACCGGTGATTCTGGCGCTTTTGCCTGAAATCCACTCTCTGATCTTCGTTGTTGCGTCAACTTTTTGGGCGCCGTATGCCAGGCGCGACGAATGCCAGCTGCTCGCCGGAGAGGCGGAAAGCGTCAGGAAGTTACTGTCCCAAACGACACGGAGGTTCCCGGCTTCCTGTCGCCCGGTTCCGTTTGGTGGCCAACAAGCATTGCCCCTGTCACTGCAACAGGGGCCAGGGCCATTTTCGATGAATTGCTTGCAGTGGCTCCCGCCTTGCCATTGCTTTCCTCATGAAAGTCTTTGTGAGCAGCTACGCTCGCAGATTTTCTTGGGCTGGCAACCTTTGTGCTGGAGTGCTGCGGAGGGTTACTGACTGGCATGCTGTTCTCCTACAGGCGCCGTTCGCTGGTCGCACAGATCTTGAAAGCGGCACGAGCTCAGTTAGCTTCACACGAAAGTCTGCTGTTCAACCTGCTCCGACCCTTTGGCTTCTTCTTTGCTTTGCTCGGTGCTCTTGCCCACCAGTGGCCAACATCAAGGCTTCTGTCCCCACAGGCAGAGTTTGGCCCGGGCATTCGCCGAATGGAAGGTCTACTTTCGCAGGATTTCATGGTCCCAGCGCTTCCTTCGGAGCTTGGGGACTGTGTTTGGCGGAATGCGCCGGCGTCGGGCGAAGACACAGCTCCTGTTCGGCTGATTCTGGACAAGTTCGAGTCATCAGCTACGCTTAGCGCTTGAGCTTGGAGACACTGAAAGGTGTTCACCCAACTCTCTTGTCTCCGCTTTTTGCCCCGGGTTGCCCTGCGGCATGTTGCTGCGCCAGTTGCTGTTGGCGGCCCGTTCGTTTGCATTGGTGGCATGGCTGATGTGGGGGTTTCTATCGCACGAGTCAGAGCACAGTTCAAGGAAAACCTTGGACAGTCCCGGAATCGGCCCACCTCCGCGCCTGCCAAGCTTTGGCAGCGGGCCACTTTTCTTCAGACGACTCAACCTGGATTCAAGCGCGGGCCGGATTGTGCGCAAGAAAGGGAAGCATGGCCAGGAATCACTGGCATTGCTCAGAGCAGAAGCTCTTAGCCGTGCTGGCAGGTCATTTGGGCCAGCTCCGCGCCATTTAGCAGCGCAAGCTTGTGCAGTCGCTTGTCGACTTGTCGAAGAGACGGCATTGGCCTCTGTGTTACTCATTGTGCTCGCGAAACAGCGGCATGGCCAACTTGCATCAACCAACCGGCTGACAGCCGTGTTGCTGGGCACAGCTACAATGAGCTACAATGAATTTCCGGGAAGGTGAGGCAAAGCCGGAAATACGCGGCGCCCGCCAAAAAGCCCAAAAGGTTCTTTGCCATCGCTTGGGTAGGCCGGCAGGCCTCTTCAACACCAGGTTTTTGATTAGTACTATGGGCAGGTCCTGAGGACGTCACGCTAAAACTCAGGCACACTCAGACAGGTTTTATCCGGCGGCGTGTTTGTTTGGAGATGGTCCTTTGTTGGTTTGTTGATACAAGGCCATCCAGCAAAACAAGCTCCTTGCCCCCATTTGGAGAAAAAAAAAGAAAAACAAGTATGCTGCAACTTGGAGACCGCCAACGTGGCCAGCTGGCCCTGGAGTGGACATATGATGTGGGTGCCACGCATGTTGCTTCAGCTTCCTCAAGCCGGGGTTCACAAACGCTGCACCAGACGTGGTTTCGACGCTGTTGGCTGATCATGCCAGGCCGGGAGACGATCTTTTGGCGACCTTTGGCTGAAAGAGAAAAGGGCAGCATGGAGTGCTCGAAGAATCAGTTCAACGTTCTTTTAGCACAGAAAGATGCGAAAAGGACTAAAAGCCGCTGTGAATCAGAGGTCTCTTTGTTTCGTGCTAAGCATCACCTTTGAGGCCATGTTCAATATTATGCGTGTGTTGTCCTTTTGGACAGGTGAGTTTAACTTAAAAAGGAAGCCAATGTGATTTAGCATTTGTGTTTGTAATTTTCTTTGCCTGGCTGAGTTGGTCTAACGGAAGAGCTCGGAAGTTCAGGCTTCACTCGCTTCACCTACCTCTAGCTTTGGGGTTGACGGGTCTGCGGGATGTCAAGAAAATGTGGGCCAACTTGGCTGTGGCGCAAAATTAAAGAGCTAGGGTTACGCAGGTTTTAGTCTTTGGTTTCATTTACCAAGGTGCCATTTTGGTACACTAATTTGAGCCACACCCACTTACTGAAAGAAGGGCTGTGCTGACTCGAGGCAGCCTGTTGGCTGGCAGTTCCGACTTTCCCTATGGCCCGAGATGATCAGTTCAGTCAGAGAGAGAACCGGATGTCTGACTCAACAGTGTTTTCTGGTGAAGAATAACTATCGCAAGCAGGGTGTCTGCATAGATGTTTGCTGCCTGTCGCGGATTTGCATTTGCAAATTACCATCAGCAGAGAGCGGAATGGAAGACCTGCGAGCTCCAGGGATTTCTCACTTCCTTTTTTTTTCAGACGGAACTGAGCTCAGAGTGCCTTAGCCAATGGCTCGCTAGAGCGTCGGCATGGACGAGGAGAATGGCGCTGGGGTGCGGGGTTGGCCATTTAACTGCGGATCAATCTCGTCGCAGGCGTAAGGTCTGATTGACTGCATTGTTGTTTGAGGATACGTGGTCTATTATCATAGTTATGTACAGATACATAGACACATACATATACATTCACATACACATACAAATGCACACACACACACCTACCTACCTACCTACTTACCTAGCTATCTTCATACATACATACATACACACATACATACATACATACATACATACATACATACATACATACATACATACATACATACTTACATGCTTACATGCTTACATACTTACATACTTACATACTTTCATACTTACATACATACATACTTACATACTTACATACTTACATACAGAATTGCATAATTACATACTTACTTACATACATACTTACATACTTACATACTTACATGCATACTTACATACCTACATACTTACATACTTACACACTTGCACACTTACACACTTACACACTTACGTACTTACATACTTACATCCTTGGAGATATATACATATATACCTACATACCTACCTACCTAGCTACCTTCATACATATATACATCATATACATATACATATACATTTTCATATACATATACATACACATATGCATATACATGTACACATACATACATATACATACATGTGAGCATACATTCAGATACATACATATACATAGAATACATACACATACATATGCATTTATTTATAGACTTATGCATATGCATATGCATATACGCATACATATACATTCACACACATACATATACATTCGGATACATACATCCACATACAATCCATACATATGCATATATATATATATATTTATGCCTATGCATAAGCATATACGTATACATATACATGTACATATGCGTATACATACATACATACATACATACATACATACATACATACATACATACATACATACATACATACATACATACATACATACATTGTTTGCTTATATGTTGATATCGCACACCAACCCGCAGCACAGATGTTTGCCTAACGCTTCATACCCGGACCTTCCTACATGCTCCACATTTGCGCCTTTTGGATACGGATTGCCTTTTGGTGCGATTGCGCGTCTTTTTCCCTACGGCCTTTTTTGTTAAATTTGGGTGTTAAGCGCACTCTCCCCGAATCTACGGGCGAAAATTCCCGACAAACATGCAAACATTCCCGACCAACAGGCGAACTTTCCCGATCGCGGCGCCAAAAATGACCGTCGGCGTGTTTTTTGCCGTAAACGCATTGTTTCACGCCAACAACAAAAAACGTGTTTTTTTCGCCAACGCCTAAATTTGTTGACCCCCGGAAGGTCCAGGTATACCCTGTGTTGCTGCCGTATTGCCTTTGGGGCTGGGATGTGTGCAATGTGTGTTTATGGCTCAACATGACACTGGCGAAAATAAGCACAGAATCACCCACACGCGCGCGCACTCACACCCAATTGCTCTAGGCATTTTTTCCCTCAGTGCTGCAGAAGCTTCATCACTCCAGACATGAGATGATTGTGGCGATGCCTCACCATTTGACTTGGATGCACCTTGCCAGTGGGGCCATTCCCCACCGTAACTAGGTTCTCGACTGCCCTTTTGATTCGTATCATTTTGGGTAAAGCCTCTCATACCCGTTTCAGGACTGACCATGTAGGAATTTGCCAACCATATTTTTGCGAGCCTCTCAGACAAGGGCAGAGACTTGATCGCGGTTCCTTTGGTAATCCCTTTGCAGTAGGTCATGTGAGGATGGAGTAAGCCTGACAATCCCACGAATGTTGCCTGTTTCTATTCCCCAGATCTGCCTGGTAGCACCTGTTTGTTTCTTTATTTTATATGGGGTTTCCTCGTTGAGTCAACCAGGCGGCTTTTGCGTTTCGGGAGACCACGGAAGTGAGGCTCTTATGGTTCGCTGCTGCTTGTTGGCAAACCAAACAACTCACGTTCTGTTCACTTGCAAACTGTGGCCAAGGTAGATTCCTGCAAATCACTGGCCGCCTGATTTGGCCACTCTGAAATTCTATAGTCAGTCACCAAGGCTTGTCACCAAGGGTCAAAGGCGAACAGTGTGACAGGCTTGGACTCAGTTTTGGAGCCCTTAACATGACCGGTTTCCCACAGACTCAGATCCGGCCAGCGGTTTTTCTCGCTTCCTTTACCTTTGCCCGCCTTACTTAGTTCCCGTAAAGAGCCGCCTTTTTGCCCACGCATCAATCGACCATGTCTTGGGCACATGTTTCTGAGAAGGGAGCCTCATTCGGCCCTTAGAGATTCACCCAGCGAACCGCAAGACCTCAGACTGTGACAGATCGGTCAGAGCAGCTTGACACGTCAATGCATGAAAACCCGCGGGGAGTCCGGAAGGTGTGCTGTGAGGGCTTGGGTCTTTGACGATACCCTGAAAAGGGGGGTGGCTCAAGCCCACGGGAAGCCCAACATTTCGGGGTGTAGAAGTCCAAAGAAAACGTCTCGCGGCACAAGCTCATGTGTTCGAACCTGTCGCCAGATCGCTGTCCGCCCAACCGCCCCATTTCAACTTGTGGAGGTTGCGGTTTGGTCGGGCAGGACAGCGCTGATGAGAACCAAACCAGCGCATCCAACACCATCGCCCCGACCGCGCCAGCTGCGCAAGGCAAGGACAAGTTGCGGCAGGGGCGGTTTGGGGTTTGATGTTGCCAACGGCACAAGGAGACCCAGCGATCCATCTTGATATAGTAGGCAACCAAGGGAACCAGCCTTTGAAAGTCAAACGGACAATGGCTGCTTACCCACTACATAAGTGCAGAGTGAAGCACCGGCCTAGGCGTGTGACGAAAAATGGGACTGGTCGGAACCACGCACCGAAATGAATCCAAGTCTGGAGCATTGTCCAAATGCACAGGAGCTCCATTCACGAGTTTGATTCGGAATCCGAAGCTCCCAGCTCCCCCCAATGGCCGGTAATTGGCATCCCGAGTGAAGTGCCAGCAATTGACCAGCACGTGCTTAAAATTTGGGTTTGGAGTCACATAGCTGTTTTGCCATAAGAGGGGATCCAGTTGAGGGGTTGGGCTTACGTATATGATCATTGTACATGCAACGCGCGAGGGGGGGGGGACACGCTGGTGACACGCTGGCTGCGCCCCGGGTCGCCTCCTCTGGCCTGCGGTTGTTGGCTCTCTGTCGTTTCGGCTGCTTGGGTCGGGTGTGGCCTTCTGCTTGCTGCGGCTCCCGTTGTCCCTGTTTGGTCCGCCTCGTCTCTCGCGGCCTGGCCTCCGGGCCCGGGGGCGCGTTTCCCTCTGTGTGCTGGTGGTCCCTTCCTTACCCCGCGGCGGGTTCCCCCTTGTCCTTCGGGTCTGGCGGGTCGGCTCTGCCTGACTTGGCGCGCGGGTGTTTTCCGGTCCCCGCGGGCGGCCCCTCGTTTTCCCGGCTTGGTTGGGGTGTGTGGTTCATGGCGGTGCCCCCTCTCTTCTTTTTCGCCGCCGGTCTGCCGCGCTCCGCCGTGGCTGTTCTGTGGCCCTCGTCTGTGGCTCGTCCGGTGCCCTTTGTCCGTTTGTGCTCGCTCGGTGGCCGCTGCGCCCCGGTGGCCCTTCCTCGTTTGGGCCGTGGCCCCGTTTTCTCTGCGCTGCGGTTCTGCTCGGCTGTCGCGGGGGGTCCTCCTGCTGCTGGCCTTTTTTGGCGGCTGGCTGTGTGGGCTCTCTCTCCGTCTTTTTCTGTGCTTGGCTTGGGGTCGGGTTTTTCCTTGTCTCTTGTCTCCGCTGCGTGTGGGTTCGCTCGGCTGCGTCTTCTGGGCCTGGGGGTTTGGGTGCCTGCCGGCTCCTCCCCCTGCCCCCCTCCGCCTTTTGCGCTCGCTCGTCCCCATGGGTTTTGCGGCCTCGGGCTCTCGGTTGCACGCACGTCCCCGGCCCTTGGCGGCGTTGGGGTTTCGTCTTCGGGCGCCAGCCTGTCCTCCGGCGGCTCCCTATTTGCTTCGGTTCTCTCTCTCTCTCTCTCTCTCTCCTCGTTTTTGTTCCTCTCTCTTCCTCCTGTTTTGATCCCTCTTTTTCTTTCCTCCCTCTCTTTCGCCGCTGTCCAGCTCTCGTCGCCCCGGCGGCGGTTGGCGGAGGATGCGGTGAGTTCCTCTCTCTCTGGCCGTTCAACAAACATGTGCCGGCAATTGGCCACCCCCTGACACGCCGTGACACGCTCCTCAAGAACGCTTTCCAACCTCAAACTTGCCCTCCAAACCTCAAACTTGCCAGCCTCCCCTTTCCCCTGCAACCCCTCCCCCAAAGGACCCCGGAAGGTCACTTGTATATGCGCTAAGCTTTCGCAGTCACTTAGACATCAAGTGACATCGCTTAGCCCAAAATCGATTGGGGAGAGCTGGTCATTGTTTGCATATCTCCGAGATCTTGCACCCAAGCCGAGGCCTTGCCCGTTTGGTGGTGCTCACAGATGTTCACCTCCTGCCCACCTACAGCCCCTCCGCGGGTCCATCCTGCCAGTGCCGCAGCGAGCTGCTCGGAACGGAGACGGCAAGGATCGGAAAGGTTCAGCGGCGCCCGTTCTCAGCTTTTTGGTTGGCGATGGAGCTCCCTTGGTTTTTTGTTCCAACAAACCGAGCTCGCCATTTCTTCTCCATGGCCACTAGGCAGATAGGATTCCCTGCGTTAAGTTGGCGCCCAAACTTATTAGCCGGATGTGATTTGGTCTGGGAAGCAAAAGGGCATGGGTCTTGCCGGTCTTGCTTTTATGTGTCCAGACCTATTCTAGAGTCATTTGCTCTCGCGATGGCTGGTTGCCTCGCTGGAGCAGTCAACCGAACAGAGCTTCGTCGTGTCCAGTGACTTAGACTTGTGGAAAGACAGTTTCAGTGGTACAGAAACAGTTTGGACGGTCTTTGGCCAATCCACTCAATTGCCCGGAGCGTGGTGCTTTGGTCTCATGAGGCGCCAACCTTCCGAATGGCCCTTTTTTCTGTTGCAGCCGGCCGTCGGCTGTCCGAACACCAATGGGGTCGGAGGTTGGGTGGGCTCCCCAAGTTGTTGTGTGTTCTCGCCAAAAGACTGTGATGGCATGGCTTTAAAGATCCTAGCCATCATCATGAACGCTGCTTCCGCAAGAACTTCGGATCTGTTTTTGGGGGGTCGAATGGGAACCCCGGTCGTAGAACATGATGGTTGCGCGCCAAGCCCAAACCCAAACCCCAAAGCGCCCAACCCCAAGCCACGCAAAGGCAAACCCAACCCCAAACCCAACCCCAAGCCAAACCCAACCCCAAGCTACCCAAACCCCAAGCCAAACCCAACCCCACCCAAACCCCAAGCCAAACCCAACCCCAAACCCAACCCCAAGCCACGCCACCCAAACCCAACAAGCCACCCAGCCACCCAACCCCAAGCCACTCAACCCCAACCCCAAGCCAAACCCAACCCAGGCCAAACCCCAAGCCAAAACCCAAAGCCAAACCCAACCCCAAGCTACTCAAAGCCCAAGCCAAACCCAACCCCAAGCCAAACCCAACCCCAAGCCACAAACCCCAAGCCAAACCCAACCCCAAACCCAAGCCACCCAAACCCCAAGCCACCCAAACCCCATGCCAAACCCAACCCCAAACCCAACCGCAAGCTACCCAAACCCCAAGCCAAACCCAACCCCAAACCCAACCCCAAGCCACCCAACCCCAAGCCACCCAACCCCAACCCCAAGCCAAACCCAGCCCCAAGCCAAACCCCAAGCCACCCAACTTCAGCCGCAACCCCAAGCCAAACCCAACTCCAAGCCAAACCCCAAGCCACCCAACCCCAAGCCCAACCCCAAGCCACCCAACCCCAATCCCAAGCCAAACCCAGCCCCAAGCCAAACCCCAAGCCACCCAACTTCAACCGCAACCCCAAGCCAAACCCAACTCCAAGCCAAACCCCAAGCCACCCAACCCCAACCCCAAGCCAAACCCAACCCCAAGCCCAACCCCAAGCCACCCAACCCCAACCCCAAGCCAACCCCAACCCCAAGCCAAACCAAACCCCAAGCCCAACCCCAAGCCACCCAACCCCAACCCCAAGCCAAACCCAGCCCCAAGCCAAACCCCAAGCCACCCAACTTCAACCGCAACCCCAAGCCAAACCCAACCCCACGCCCAACCCCAAGCCACCCAACCCCAACCCCAAGCCAACCCCAACCCCAAGCCAACCCCAACCCCAATCCACCAGGGGTCCAAACTTTTCAGCTCAGGGACTGCGCTCGCCCTGGGCCTCCTGCGACCTTCGGCCAGCTGGGCTGCAACTCCCCCGGCAGGCCGAAACCAACAAAAAATCGCGGGGTGGTGGCGTTTTGTTGGAACGCCGCTGGGTGGGTCTCTACAAAAAGGGAACATCCGCCATTTTCGGGGGGGGGGGGGATGGCTTTTAAAGGGAAACCAAAAGGGAACAGCCGCGATGTTCTGTTTTTTTTGGAGGGGGTCTCCAATAAACGACACCAGTATCAGGAGTTTTGGGTTGGCGTTTGAAAGGGACAAGGAAAAGGAAACCATCAAGTGTCGGGGTTGCCTTTGAGACAACCTGGTGTCATAATATTGGCAAGTTGAACATGTGCCAAGCCTCGGGAAAACGGGTGGTGCGCTTCTCAGAAGAACGGGAGGATGGGGAACCAACCCAAGTTATGGCTAGGTGAAGCCTACCCACTGGTTACCCTCCCGCATTCACCATGACAGGGCTTGGTGCACGCTTTCGGGCTGTACACTTCCATGTTTGTCTGGAGGTGCCTTGACATGTACGAGACTGGTTTGAACAAGGAAGCTGTTGCTATTTTTTGATGTCGGGGCCCAGAACTTCCAAGTTCATGCTTATCCTCAGACAGGGGAAGGAATCAGCCCCTATCGGTTGTAGCTTTTGCTTCAGTCCAATCCCTAGCTAAGTGCAAAGCTCAAGCGCGCGGCAGAGAAACAAAGGGCACGGCTGAGCCTGGCTCGCTGACAAGCTCACAGACCTGGGCTTCCAGCACTTCTGGCTAGCACTTAAAAGCTAGATGCGTTCCTCTTAATTTCTGTTGGCTCCAGACTCCAGACTTTGGCTTTCAGCGTTTCGGACGTCTTAAGTTTTCTGAACTCCCGAAACTGGGGCTGAGGGCGACGTTTTGTCCGGGATTGAGTGGACACCATGTGGTAAGAGGAACCAAAATGAGAACCACCGCATGTTTAAGGTCTTTCCGGCCATTTCTTTGCCATTGAAGTGACTGTTTTGGACCCTGCGGTTTTGTGAGCGTTCCACGGACATCCCGGAGCCACAAAGAGCGGGTGATGGTTGATGGTAACTCGTTGGTCCTCTCTGGCACAGCACAGCCAAATTCAAAAAGCGGACAAGCTGGGCTTGGGTGGACTGATTCCCTTATGAGAGGGGGGGGGTGCACCAGCCCAAAAAAGCTTTCCATACATTTCGCTTGGGTACAAGGATGTCCCCCGTTGTGCAGAGTTGGGGTGCTTCGGGCAGTCTCCCCACGCCGCCTCGGCCCGCCAGTTTGCTGGATGCAGCCCTGAAAACGGCCCAAGAGCAGGAGACAGGGTCCAAAAGCCACGTGCCGGCCGAGGGATGAGGTTTGTTCAATGAATTGTTTTGGCAAGCGCTTTTCCGATGGTGTCCCCCTCGTGGCTCTTTGCTGCTACGCTGATGGTTTTCTGCTGGTTCGGTGGCGGTTTGTTTGGTGGTTTGCTGTTGGTGCTGGCATGCGGTGAATTGCTGATGGTTTCCTGCTGACTTGCTGGTGTTTTGTTGGTTTGCTGTTGGTGCTGGCATGCGGTGAATTGCTGATGGTTTCTCGGTGGTGTGCTGGTGTTTTGCTGGTTTGCTGTCGGTGCTGGTATGCTGGTGATTTCCTGGTGGCTTGCTGGCTGTTTGTTGGTTTGCTGTTGCACTCAAAGGCAATCCAAAGCGGATGACTGTTGGTTCTCCATGCAACGATGCCGTGTACCTGCTTAGGCCGGAGTACAGCATCATCCACAACCGGGTTGGTCAGTCAGCAAACATGGAATTAGTCAATGATTGCACACTTCTCATGTTTCAAGCCTGTCACCCAGCTGATTAAATGCCTCTGGTATGTTTGCATCGATCAAAGCGACCTCACCCCGAAGAACAAGCTCAATGAGGGTTCATGGAATCAGGCTAGTGAATGCTGCCTCCCGTTCGTTTGACCCACCGTCTTCCATGTTGCGGAAGATTCAGATGATGTAACTTTGTTTGCCAGCAGGTGATTGAAAAGAGCTTGGTCGCGCCTGCAATTTGTGTTTGCTGGAAGAAAAGGAGCAATCAGGCATTCGCCCAGACCTAGGGCTTGCCTCTTGTACTCCTTTTTGCTGCGGAAATGAAGTGCTCCCCTGTGAGGGTTTCTTTCCCTACAAAGATGGTGAGGGGGGCTCTCAATGTTGATCGTAAGGAAGGCGGTCTTTTGGTGAGCCCAACTGCTTCAATGCATCTTTTTTGAGGGTACCCTTTTCCAGGTTTGTGTAAAAGGAAACCAACAGGACACCAATCCTTTTGTGGACCCATCTTGACACATACCCACAATATAATGCTCACCCCAGTTGATCAACCATCTAACCATTTGTCCCCTTTCCACCACGTTCAGCCAATTGAAAGGTACGAGGTTTAGCACAGAACCCGCCCAAGGTCCGTGTTTCTTTGACGCCCCCTTCTGCCTAAACATCGAACACCCGACAACATAGGAAACTCACAAACTTGGAGTACACAAGTCACTGCTAGTACTTCTGCCAATGCTTCTTGCTTTCAGAATTGCCCTTGGTCTCGAGGACATGAGCTGGCAAGCTGCAACATGGTCATAGCTACATGTCAAATCACTTGAGCTGCAGGGCACCCGGAAGACTGCGGCCGCTGACGGTTGGCCCTTTCAGAATGACTGGTTGACCAATGACCTTGACAAGGGAGAAGGCTTCTCCTGGGCTCTTCCCGCGGATTCCCATGGATTAACGTCTGTGTATCAAAGTTTGACGCACAACATGAACACGGTTCCTCTTTCCCCCTTAAAATCAAAGGAGGGTTCTGAACCTTACAAACCAGACCCAGAACCTATCGGAAGATGGCTTTGTAGAGCAGGAATTATGTTGATCGTATTACCCACTCTGGAGGATCCCCTTGTGAAGCAGGCGATTTTCTGGACGTGGCCGTGTCTCCAAATAGAACATGTGGTAGTTTGTTTCAGCTTGCTTTCTTCGGCCACCCCAAAAAAGGACAAACAATCACACACACACAGAAACAGACACAGACACAGACACACAGACACACAGACACACACACACAAACAGACACAGACACACAGACACACAGACACACAGACACACAGACACACAGACACACAGACACACAGACACACACACACACAGACACACACACACAGACACACACACAGACACAGACACGCCCACACACATGCACACACGCACACACGCACACACACACACACACACACACACACACACACACACACACACACACACACACACACACACGCACACACGCACGCACACACGCACACACACACACACACGCACACACACAAACACCCACCCACCTTGTTTTCTGCTACCGCTTCCATTTCCTTAAGACTATATATGTTGATATGTATACTGTATATACATGTTTATTTTTCCCATTTGGTTTCAACATGGGTATATTTGTTGTTTTTGTATATATATATATATATATATTTTATTATTTTTCGCAGGGGGCTTAAGCAAATGGAAGACGACCAGCCAGAAAAGGGTAGCCTCGAAAGACAGCCTTTGGATAGAGGATCCCAGCTGGACGCTGCTGCTGGGTGACCTGGTGGACCACTATGGCGGCCGGGACATCTCGAAGAAAGACGATGTGGGCAGGGATCGGAGCACCTGGGCTCGGTGGACAGGGGGCGGTCTTTTTTCTTCAAGGAAAACAAAACTTTTACATGAGTCCTCATACACTTAAGGGGCATGCTATACCTCAGGACCGAATGAAGACCGCTTGGATTTGCAATGAAAACAACTTGGGATAAGAGTTTTAATACGCTTTTGTCCTTTCCAGCTCAAAGAGAAAAAGCCGAAAAGGGGGCGCTATTTTGAGACACACCCGTTTTGGGGATTCATCATGTTTAGCACTTGTGGTTGGTGGTTCGAACTCTTAAGATTGAACACCAGATGCCAGGGTGCCCTGTTTTGGTAACACCGACGGAATCCTCTGGTTTTCCCTTATACGTCACTTGTTTTTGTGGAGACCGGCAGAGGAACTTACCAGGTTTATGGGTACCAGTTTGAATCCACCATTGATTTCTGGTGGAAATTCTGTCTAGTATTTGCACGAGCTAGTCCTTTTCAAGGTCTTATCCTAGTTGTTTTCTGGGCTTTTCCAGGAATAGACCACACCCATACACCCCCCTTTCCTACAGCGGAGTAATATGCATTTCCTTTCATTTCCCTGCAGCGGGCACCGAATTTCTACCGTTAGCAATTTTGTAATACAAAGGCCAAAACAACTATGCACATGGTTCTCCAATGATCACGAAGTAAACTGGTTTAGTACCGCGCAACCCTTCTAATGGGTTGAACCGCCCTTAGAACATAGATCCCCCCTCTTCCCCCATAGATCCCCCTCGAGCTTTTGCCACTGGTTGGTGGGGACAAAGCCCCGAACTGCTGTCCGCCAACTCGATCCCCAGTTAAAAATCACACCCACTTTGTTCATATTTCGGGGTAGGCTAAATATGGAGCACCCATCCGAGTTCTCATGTTTAAGTTTTGGGTTTGCTAAGCCATGAGTCTGCTATGGGTCTGTCTTTTTGAGGGTACCCCTTTTAGGATTGGTTTGGGAAGCCAAAGAGAATCCCACCCAAACTGGGGGTCCAACCTGAAAAAGACACTCATATTTGGCGACTGTGGACGAAATCCATTTCGCACCACTTTGAAACCATGGTTGAAACCATCGTTGGTAGGTGTTTACGTTGGGGAATCGAATAATTCCGTTGGGAATCTTTGGTGCGAAATGGACTTTGTCCATCCAACGTCGCCAAATATGAGCGCGTCTTTTTTTGAGGTTGCACCCCCACTCCGGCGTGGGATTCCTTTGGGTTGAAACCAACCAACCCCAAAACGGGTACCCTCCAAAAGGATTTCCGAGCGACTTCCATTTACTTAAGACTATATGTGTTTCCCCTGGTTTTAAAGGGAGCCTCTCACTACTGCACTGGATCTAGTTGTTTTTCATTTCTTCCCTGGACGCATTTTGTTTGCCGCCCGAGGCTTGGCCATTTTCACCGCGACGCTGCAGCGCGCGGCGCGCAGCAGCGAAGGCCGCTGCGCGGTGGCCATCGGCAACACCGACGCCCGGCGAAAGCGACTGCCAAAGCACCGGGAAGGGGTGGGGGGGATGGGGGTGGGGGGGTGTGGGGGAGAGTTTTTTTTTTTTTGATTTTTTGTTGTCTCTATTTTACGGTGTGGTTTGCGCGTGTTTTTTGAATGACTGCTTTGTCGCTTTGATTGTTTATGTGTTGGGCGTGGGGGGGGCTGATTTGTTTGGTTGGCGCTTGCGATTGAGTGGATCTTGGAAGGGGGGTGACCATGTATATACATGTATATTGTGTATCTGCATATATACGTATATATGTGTGTATGTTCTTATGCCTGCAGCTTTAGGGCTTTGTCCATGCCAATCTCAGCCAAGGACATCCTGCCAGCGTTTCAGGTGGATGTGACAGCTCTAGAGTACTACCTGCCCGAGGCAAAAGCAATCCAGACGAGCCTCGGAAGGACAAGGTCTGCTCGAGGGTCTAGACCCCCATCCCCGACCCTTCCCCGGAGTACCACGGCTTCTTTTCTGGGGGAGCCCGCAAAATCCAGAGGACGCGTATCCAGAGTCCTGATTTGCTGCAAAGCAGAGGTCAACCAACTTCTGGGGTAGTGCGCATTGAGAGCCCCGCGGTCAGCCAGGTTTAGGGGGTTTTGGAAAGGCCCATTGCGGCTGTCAAGCAACCACATAGTTGGGGGGTGGTGTGGATGACCAAGGCTTTTTGTTGTGTTGCGGGAATTAGAAATTCACCTCGCAATTACTTCTTATTTCTATTGGCTTACGCCATGTAAACAATGTACACATGATACCTTTGGTATGCAATGACAAATGGGTCTGTCTTTCTTTAGGGGACCTCCTCCCCAAAGTAAGATTCGTTTCCTTTTGGTTTCCCTTTGCGGCCCAGGAAAAGACAAGTACCCTCAAAATTACTTCGCTTCGAGCAATCCCCACCCTCCACACTCACGACATTATGACCGTGAACACGGTTGTGTGAATTCAAGCATGGTTTTCGAGTGGCTTGGGGCCTATGACTGCTCAACAAGCTTTGCATTGAGAGCCTTATCCACCTGTCTGCGTGTCAAACTCCACTTGTCTGCGAGCCGATCTCGAGAACTCAAACATCGGTTCCGCGTTACCAAATGCCAAGCCCCTTCCAAAAAGAAACTCGACGGGGGAGTAAAACAAAGTTGATTATTCACAACCCAATGCAACACAAAAGCATCACCCTTTCCGAGCCTCAGGGCACGCTCAAAACACGAAGGCGCCAACATGAAATGTAAACCCAACTGTGCGCCGGGCGGGGCATTAAGCAAAACCAGACTGGCGAGCTGCTCTGGATACTGGCGGGATCCACTGGCGAATGCTGGCGAGCCGCTCCGGCTCGATACTGGCCGGATACTCGGCAGGATCCACCGACAAGGGATACTCAGCGGGATTCAGCAGGATACTCGGCGGGATCCACTGGCAGGCTGCTCTGGTGGGATACTCGGCGGGATCCACTGGCGGGCTGCTCTGCGGCGGGTTCCACTGTCGAGCTACTCTGGCGGCTCGGCGGGATCCACTGGCAAGCTACTCTAGGATACTCAGTGGGATACTCGGCGGGATCCGCTGGCGGGCTGCTCTGGTGGGATACTCGGCGGGATCCACTGGCGAGCCGCTCTGGCAGGATACATGGCGGGATCCACTGGCGAGCCGCTCTGGCAGAATACTTGGCGGGATCCACTGGCGAGCCGCTCTGGCGGGATACTCGGCGGGATCCACAGGCGAGCAGCTCTGGCGGGATACTCGGCTCCACTGGCCAGCTGCTCTGGCGGGATACTCGGCGGGATCCACTGGCGACCCGCAGGCGGGATACTCGGCGGGATCCACTGGCGAGCAGCTCTTGCGGATGCTGGGCGGGATCTGGCAGGATACTGGGTGGGGGCGTGGTGTAGAAGCATCGCAAACGCGGATTTTATCATAAAGTTTAACAACCCCTTCCTGTCGGGTGGGAAAAAAGACGCCCAAATACCGACTCCGCAACTTGAGACGAGCGAGGCATTGCAAGATCCCAGAGGCCGCCTTCGAGACGCTCAAGAGGCCGGCGTCAGAATCCAAGATTGGAAGTGTGTTTGAGGAAATTCATGGAATTGCATTTTGTTCCCCCCAAAAACAAGGACCAGAGTCAATCATGTTATGCTGGACCCTGGTGTTTGGTGTGCAAAGCGTAGACGCAACCGGCATCAGGGCTCGGCCTACACGACGCTCGATGAGTAGTTCTGTTTACTCAGGGAGCTGCCCATAATACGATACTGGTGCAGTCAGCAGGGCTCAACGCTGTTTTTTCTGGTGTCCCAGCTTTTCCCAGGTGGCTAAGCGGAATTCTTTGCTCCATGTGGCCCATTTGGCACGGTTCCAAACGAGTTGCCTGTGAATGTAATGCGTTCCAAACTTCCGGGCCCCTCCTGTTGGATGGAAACTTCTTCTTTTCAGAGGAGGTCCCCTTGCTCATCCCCAGCTGTTGGCAGATAGCAGGTTGACAAAACCAGGCCCAGCACGATTCCGCAAATCTTTTGATTCGGTCGCTCAAGTTGTGTGTTGCGATCCACTATTTGGCTGGGTGTACAGGACGAGCAATTAAGCAAGGGATGACGATTCCAACGAGCAAAGAACTAGCTGATTCAGTAAACCTTGAGAGGCCAGCTTGCGAATTAAGTTGCCGTGCCTTACGTGATTCAGCGCATGTTTCAGAGTTTGCAAAGTTGCGCAGCAAGCAAGAGAGACATTGTCGGACCCGGCGGCGCAGGGGCCTCTTTCAAGGCATCCCGCGCGGGAGATCGATTGAGAGGGAGGAAGACTTGGTTGGTGTTTAAAGATGCTGACAGGTAAGCCCAGGTCATCAATTCTTCAGAGATGTGCTTCTCAAAAAAGAAAGAAAGAAACTAACTGAAAGCCAAGCGACGGCCAACCCATGACAGATCGATCACCAACCGACAGCCAACCGATAAGCGAGCCGCTGGCCCACTGAATGCCGCGTGAGATATTTGCATGGACGACTAGTGACGTTGGGCAAAGACGGGAAAGACGAAACGAAGACTACATACAAAACTGTGACAAAAGCGAGACAATGTATTCCGTATTAGACAAGTAACTGATGACCGCGAATAGGTGTATTACCATGTGGTTGGTTTCCTTTTGGTTTCCCTTTGAACACCAACTGCAAGGGGGTCTATTTTCTGTGTACCAATGACCTTTTTTGCCACGTTTCTTTGAGCGAGGGACGTGGGACTGCGAAAGGAATCGGTCCCAGGGGGCCCCGGTGCGTTCAGATCCGGGGAATTGGCAGGTATGGTTACTACTCCATCGAGCTTGCTGACAAAACGTCGCTGCTGCTTCTGAACACGGTGTGCTTTGGCGACTGAAGGATCTATATACCAGCATGTTACTACTATTGAGTTGCTTTCTAGTTTGGCTTCACCTTGAAGGGTGAAACAACACGCTTATGTTGCGTTGATTGATATACTCTCCGTCTGAAACATTTTCTGTTGCCCTCGCTTTTGGAGCTACGTCTGGCCCGCGCTGCCGGGCAAATGGATTCCATTTTGTAGAAAGATGATAGGATTTCCAAAGATGAGTGAGAAAGACTCGAAACACACTGCCCCTCGTACCTAGCCCACGGCAACGACACAAGCGGTTGTGTTTGTGACAGCTTCTCAGACGCTCGAAACTGAGGGGCTGCTTCTCATTGAACCCTTGTCATGTTGAGCATCCGCCTTGTTTTCCTCCAGACATGATTTATTGCTGACACCAAACACGCCACGGAAAGACAGGGCGGATCACGGGCCCAGTTGTCAGATTTCATCAGAATGTTGCTTCTGCGGCGCTTTGAAGTGTTACTCAAAGTTTGGCCTGAGATGCAGATACTGGTCAATAAAATGGTGTTTCTAAAAAATGGAGGGAGCACAGATTTGGTGGTCCCCAATTGATTTGACAATCCAACCAACAAGCACTTCGACATGGCAACTGTCAGGGCCTGGTTTCAGCCCTTTTGCTGTCCGTCTGATCTTGCAGCACACTTTAAGCCGGGGAAACAATCCTGCTCACGATTCTGCTGCAGAGTCTGAATGAGCGATCTTACAAAGGGGCTTCGCTTGCCACCGTGACGGCGGCTTCCGTTATAGGAACCTTTTTGTTGGGTCGGTGAATCATGGATAGATATATTCCTCAGAGAGGCTCAAATGAAAGTGCAGCATCATTCCTGACAAATCTTGCAAACTTAAACTGGCCAAGTGAGCCTTGCCTTTTTTGGCAGCTACATTACATCTTCAGCGCTGCTAGACATTAGTATTGATCGAACGCGGAGCTTCAAGCCATCTGCTGCCGGTGAGTCTGTTTTGAGAAGGCGTGCATGTGATCTTTTGCCCCTGCTAGCTATATAGGCCTATCAAGTCTGAGCACGGTCCTTTTGAGGGCGGCCCCTCAATGAACAGGGAACATGCATTCAATGGCCGGTACTCCTGCCAGGCGCCCCAAATGGGACATCCATTGCGCATATGTTACCATCTTGCAGTTTTCGCTTCATCATCAGCAACACGTTGGAGTTTCCCCGATGAATCCCTTGAACAAAACCTCAGCAATTTCAGTCGCCCAGGATCTACTCCAGCCGGGAACAGCCTCCCATCACAGAACCTTGGCTTACAAGCCGACGGAATGGATCTCGACTCGAAGATCTTTCCTGGAGGCTTCCAGCTAGATGCAATTTCTTGGGCTCGGACTAAACCTGAGTTTCATGTTTTCGTGTTGGAAGTTGGAAGGGTTTTTTTGTCGGCAACCCTGAATGATGCAGAAACGATCTTTGCTCCCCAGCCGCATTGTCTGGGAGCAGGTTGAGGCAACGCTGGCTAAACCAGTTGAGAGTTTGTGATTTCTACAGATGTACATCACGCCCAGACTACCCCAGCACGTGCCAGGCTGTAAAACAGACCCCAAAAAAGCCCACAGTGCCTCCTTGGTCCTATTGACGTTGACACCTGCCTGCCCAGCCAGCTACACGTAACTGCGATTGGCGTGGTGGTGTGGGTTCACAGATACAAGGCAAAGACAAAATGCAGAGCTGGCAAAGTAGCTGCTTGGCTACCCTTGGGTGCCCTTGCCTAGGGGATTGGCAGATTCTGGCTGGATGTGAAACATACTATGTGCAGTTGAGGCAGGCAAGTGTTTGACAAGATGAGCTCGAGACTCCCTTGAGATCTGCTTCGACTCCAGTGCGCCCTGAGAGAGCAAACACTCGGTTAATGTTTGATGTGTTGAAGCAAGAGTTTCAGGCGAGGCGTTTCCTGAGAAGCCCCTTAATTTCCCACAGTCAAGGCATGTGGTTTCCTCGGATTCATGGGGAGGGTCATCAAACGTTTTATGCTGATGTGGCCATGGGGCATAACCTATGGCTCCGTTTTGGGGTGACTGAACATCCATTTGCCACCTATGTTGATGTTCACCAGGGGTACTTTGGGTTTTGACAACCACAGCCATGTATGTATGTATGCCAACCAGCTTCAAGGGCAGCATGCCCACGAGGCAATGGGTGAAGTCTTGATAGCTCAAGCGCCCGTGAAATTTTCAGCGACACCTGGTGGGTCCAATGAACATGTCTGCAATCGAGCCAACAACGTTCAGCATCGCCGGAGTGCCGAGAATACACACATATAAATATACATATACACCTTCAAATGTACACTTAAAGTATTCCTGCACTACATTCCACTACACCACACTCCACTACATCACGTTTGCATTGCATTACATTACTTTTCATGGCATTATATTGCATTACATACCATCGCACAGCATGCCATGCCATGCCATGCCATGCCGTGCCGCATGCATGTGTATGTCTACAAACACACACACATAATATATATATATATATTATATATATAAAAACACATATACATTATTCGTGTGTACAAGTAAACATGTCTTGCTCCTGGATATCGCCTCTCTGGGTCTCAAAGGCACCCCTTTTCGCGCGCAATTGCGCGCGCAGGACGTAGATCCCTTCGGGCAGTTCGCCTGGCTGGAGCAGCATCTGAAGCGAGTGACGGCGGAGGGTGGCCAGGCTTGGGGGGGTCAAAGAGAAGGAGCGGTTCTCCGGGGTCAGCTTTTGGTGTGTCTGGGGGTAGTCTGATTTTTTTTTACATGGAAGCTCCCAGAAATCCGATCCTGTAAATGCAATCAAGTCTTCCAAAGGGGTGCTGGGAGCTTCCATGTTAGTCTGAGGGAGTGTATCCGGGGTCAGCTTTTTGTGTCTGGGGTTATCTGAGTTGTTGTTTCTTTTTGGGGGGCCGTCTTGATAGGGTGCCACGGGGGAGGCGTCAGTGTTGGGGGTCCCTTTTAAGCACCATTGGGTCTGTCTTTTTAAGGATACCCTGTTTGCTCTTTTTGGGCGGCTTGAAAAAGAAACCCACAGGAAAACCGAAGCCATTTTGAGGGTCCCCCGTCTTCTGTTGTTAAAAGGTAAGTCGAAGGAAATCCGTGCTTTGCTGGGTCCCTGATTTTAAGACATGCTCGTTAAAAAATAATCCCTGTTTGGTTGATTTTAAAGGGATACCTACCTTTGAATGGACACCAACCACCCAAGAGCTGTCAATTTAAATCGGTGCCCGACCCCTTGATGGACATCAGAATTTTGTGGGGATGAAAATCTAACTTGTGAGGTGGTTCCAATTCTTTAAACAAAATCAAAGCCATATGGGTGTGTCGTTTTTCGGGAAGTCCCTTTATGGTTCCCTTCATAGTAATCATTAGTTTGGTGTCTTTTGACCATGGCGCATATAGATTCAAAGGTTGGATGGCCGTGGCTCCAATAGAATCCCCAAAATGGCGCCGTATGTGGAAAGGCTAACGGCTAAAACCTGCGTGCCAGCTGCTAAACAAGTTCTGCCACACCCGAATGAGTGGTGTGTGTGTGTGTGTGTGTCTGTATGTATGTATTGTAATATAATGTAATGAAATGAAAGGACATGTAATGTAATAATGTAATGTATGTATATATGTACGTGCGTACGTGTATATATATATATATATATGTGTGTGTTTGCATCCGTATACGAAACCATGGGCACGTGTTTTTTTTCCCTTTGGCCAGGAGGCAGGTGTCCATGAGCCGAGGGTATCGGTGTGGGGGGATCAATATTCCCTTCGGCCAGTTTTGATCATGGCTTACTGTTCCCATGGTGGGATTTCATGGCTATATGGCATCTGGCCCCCAAAATGACCATGGGCCACTTTTCCCATTTAGTGGCCCATACCATCTTTTTGGTGGTTTCCCCAAATGGTCATCCCATGTAAAGGCCCTTTGGTGATCCCCCAAATGTTTAGACCAGCCCTTGGATCCGAGCTCCATGGATATAGGGCAGGTGGGCTATGCTCTTTCCCAATTTCTACTCACTTGCGCCTTCAGCCCGAAAGACACCTAAAGACAAAGGGTGACCCTTTTAGGATCTTGACTCAACATGGGCCAATCCCACAAGGTTGAAAAAAGCACTTAGAAGAGAAAAGATCCAACGCTTGGCCTCTCCCCAATGCAATCCCCAAAACAGGAGTTCTGCCAATCGGATTTCCTCTACACTTGGATTCCAGGTGAGCATCAAGAGAGTTTAGCCTCTCAATTAAACGGCCTTCCAAGCCAAGCTGACTATCAGTGGATTGTGGCAGGGTAATCTTTTGTCCTCCGCACCCTTCGTGTTCCCCGAAAAAAAGGGATCCCCCACCCAAACGCATCCGAAGAACACACCGGACATGCTGGGAGGAGGAGGAGGAAGATTTAAGAACCCAACATTGTAAATTCACGGGGCTAGCCTTGCATCATAGGGAAGTTTGAAGCCAGGGATCATTGGCTTGGATGGGGCGTTTGCTGTGAAGTCCCAGCCACACCTCCATGCATAAGATCTGGGTTGTTCTCAGCAGCGCTCCAAACCCTCTGAAATATAAGTACCCCCAAAAATGGTTGGTTTCCTTTAAAGGTATCCCGCGAAAACCAAGCAAGACCATCGACGATAGGAGTTTTGACCATGGCACATATGACTCAAATGTGTAATGTTGACCCGATATTAATCAACCCCAGTTTGTCAATAAGGGTGTTTTCCTCCAAAATGATGATTCCCACATTTCACCCAGGGACACCCCTCTATTGATAGACTGGGGTCGATCAATACTGTAGGTGGACGAACTCCTGCACCACTTTGAAGCCATAGCAAACCATTGTTTGTTGGTATTTACAGGGGAAGCATCAGCCTAGGGTTTTTGAGGTGGTGCAGGATTTCGTCCATCCACAGTATGGGGTCACCAGGGCCCACGCGCAGGTCTTCATCGCTGGGCACATTCCCCCAGTGGTGGGTGGGCCCTTCTCCAGGAAGTCCTTGCGCTACGCTCAGTCGGATCGATGGTGTGTTTGTCTGGTTTTTGGAGCTGGTACCCCCTTTTGGGGTTGCTTCAAAGGGTAACCAAACAGGATATGACCATTTGTCATTTGTTTTGGGGGGCGAGGGGCTACTTTACTTGACACGCACACCCTTATCTTGGCAGGGAAGGTTCTTTCGACTGACCTTCACGAGCCAGTTGGGTGACCAAAGTAAATTCCAGTCAACGGGAACGGGGTGAGCAATCGACTTACAGCATGGGGTGGTTGTTTCGGAAGGGCCACGCCCGGGGGTTGCTTCAAATGTGACGCCTTATGGGTGTTTCAATCATTCGATGAACCACCTTGAGGCCAGGAGGAGATCATCAACATACAGCATGACCAAAACACGAAATCCTTGTAGCACAGTCAGGTCAGCTCCACACGGATGGATCTTGAAGCTTGCAAAGAACTCCAGGACTGTTAGATTTCGGGGATTGCCCTTCGGGTGAGTTTGGCACAGAAATCCGTGAGGAGTGGCATCCTGAGGTGGCAGAGCAGCTTTGCTGTTCACTACTGGCGCCTGGTGAGCAAGCACCTTGCCCATGGACTCTGGCCCGCAAAAACGGCCTTAGCACTAAGTCAATTTCCTTTGCGCGTTTTTGTCAGCCCATGCGTACTCTACACCTGGTCCAGAGAGGTCAGGTTCGAATTGAACGCAAACCATGTCACAAGAGCGTGCCCGCCTTTCCTCGCAGGCTTGCAACATTCCTTCGAATGCAACGTGTAAGCTTTGGGCATCTTGAGGCATTTCCGCAGATTAGCCTTGGCAAATCCTGATCGATCGGCAGGCGAATCATTTGAATGATTCTGCACTCCGAACACGTCGAAGCAACATGCTTTCAAAAGGACATGGGCGACATTTGACAGGCGGGACTATCTAAATGAGCAGATTGAAAGCAATATTGTCAGTTGCTCATGTTCAGCCCCTTTGTCAACGTTTATGGCGTAGAAATGGTTATAATGAAATCTAGCGGGGGATGGATGTCTTTTCCGTTGGCCACGTTTTTCTGTTTCTCAGGGTTTAATTGATGGTGAGAGGGTTGAGTCGAGCCTCTACAAGATGCTCAACCCCCAAGGGTAGAGAAAATTGGGGGGGGGGGGGGGTGGTGGTTTCCTTTGTTTTCCTTTCAAAGATCGACCACGTACGCATCTTCGGACAAACAGCGCGTTCGAAGTTGGACTTTGCTGAGGTTTAGTAGCTGAAGTCAAAAGAACCGGTTGCTTGGGGTAAATACTCTGGATGGACAAGATTCACGAGCTGACTGGGTAACCTTGATGGATAGAAATATAGAAATGCGCTCCGGGATAAACCACCAACCGGTGCACCATTTCCATCAGAGAGATGGTCCATCACGGGGGAGTCCGCCTATTCCCCGTTGAAATGGGCGCAAATTCGGAACGGAACCGGACCACGGGCCACCTAAGGTTGGCTGATAGGGAGCCCCAAATTGGATTTCGGTTTTCCTTCACAATGTGTTCATGCAACACCCAAGGGCAAACACGAAAAACGGCGCGAACATATGCAAGAAACAGCCCCCGTAAAGGTGGGCTGCTTGCAGCAGCAACCTTTCCGCATAGGTTTTTATGTCAGTCATAATATGCACAGCCGGCCCTGAGCCAGAATCCATCCAGCCATGTTTGGATTGGGTGAGTTTGTGCGGTGGGTGTGGGTGGAGATGGGTTCCTGGTTGCTGTTCCAGGTATCCATTCGTCATGTATCCCGCAACGGGGAAATGGCGCCATTGCCCCTACAGCGCTGTACCTTTCTGGACAACCTGATATCACGGTGTCCGCTTGTAAAGGTTGTTTGTTTGTTTGTTTGTTTGTTTGTTTGTTTGTTTGTTTGTTTGTTTGTTTGTTTGTTTGTTTGTTTGTTTGTGTGTTTGTTTGTTTGTTTGTTTGTTTGTTTGTTTGTTTGTTTGTTGGTTTGTTGGTTTGTTTGTTTGTTTGTTTGTTTGCTTGATTGCTTGATTGTTTGATTGTTTGTTTGTTTGATTGTTTGATTGTTTGATTGTTTGTTTGTGTGTTTGTTTGTTTGTTTGTTTGTCTGTCTGTCTGTTTGTCTGTTTGTTTGTTTGTTTGTTTGTTTGTTTGTTTGGTTGTTTGTTTGTTGTCTGTTTCTTGTTTATTTGTTTGTGTGTTTGTTTGTCTGTCTGTCTGTCTGTCTGTCTGTCTGTTTGTTTGTTTGTTTGTTTGTTTGTTTGTTTGTTTGATTGGTTGCTTGTTTGTTTGTTTGTTTGTTTGTTTGTTTTTTGTCTGTGTGTTTGTTTGTTTGGTTGTTTGTTTGTTTGTCTGTCTGTTTGGTTTGTTTGTTTGTGGGTTTGCTTGGTTGTTTAAACGGCGCCAATCACCATTTTGGGCTGTCTCCAACCGGAGACGAGATCGGGGAGAAGTTCCATTAGCTTCTCGAAAGCTCAGAGCTTTCTTTTTGTCCGAGGTGTGTGCCATGTTTTTGTTCCCTTCTTTTTGTTTGTCTTCTGCGAATCATAAGATGCCCTTTTCCAGCAGAATGAATCGCAAGGAGCCTGAAATTGCGCGCCTCCCATCAGAATGGCAAGGACCCTTCCCTTCAAAGCGTCTGTGAAAACCATTTTTCCAGTCGCCAAAGTGGGAGAAATCTGGTGCTACCTTTCCCATTCTTTCCAGGGATCCTTCTTTCCAGAAAACCTCCGGAAGAGGAATCAACCCTTAGAAAACCACCAATTGGCGGGAAGCTGAGCTTTTGGTTGGGTCACGGCTGAGCCTGTGGGATAAAGCCTTCCAACTTCCGGCCAGCCGTTTTTTCCGCCGTCTGTGAGGCACGGCAGGGTGGTGGCAGGGCAGCTCTTCGGGCACGGACACCGCCCCTTGGAGGGCACCCAAAGTCCTTCGCCGCCCGATAGCGCAGGGGATGGCTTTTGGACATGGCGTTTCTTGGGGAAGCAGAATGGTCCGCTTCCATGATTGGATGATTTGTAAGGTAAGGTCTTCCAATCGGTAAGCATTTGTTCGGACCTCTGCTTCCAAGATTGGAAAGAGGGTAATTATGTTGGATGGATGAATTGTGGGGTCGCTGATGAGATTTGGGTAGCGTAAGGGTGATTAATGTTGGTGGACCTGCGGTAAACGCCAAAGGTAAGACCCGGAGAATTGAGGAAACACATACGCAATGTGATTACAATTTAAGTGGTTTCAAGGCGGGGTAGGTTCCCCATATACATATATACATATATACATATATACATATATACATATATACATATATACATACATACATACATACATACATACATACATACATACATACATACATACATACATACATACATACATACATACATACATACATACATACATACATACATACATACATACATACATACATACATACATACATACATACATACATACATACATACATACATACATACATACATACATACATACATACATACATACATACATACATACATACATACATACATACATACATACATACATACATACATGTATACATATATACATATATACATATATACATATATACATATATACATATATATTATATACACTCACATACATGCTTTATGTTTTTGAAGCTTGGCTTCGAGTTCTTTTGGGCAGAGAGACCCTTAGGCAAAGATGGTGCTCGATACGAAGTGTGATTTATTGCGTCCCCGTGTAAGGGCGTGCTCCTTTAGCTAGTGGCGGTCGGCGCTTTTGGCCCATGCAAAAATCTGCGCAGGAGCAGCGGTCAAAATATAAACCGCAATATACTGTGAAGGGGAAGGACATGGGGCGCACTGACCCATCCCCACGAGAAACATGGAGTTGCTCAAGGCATGTTCTGTTCAACTGCGGACACCATGAATATTGACAGTTGCCGACAGGATCATGTGCGCACTGGTTTGGCAGAGTAATTCGGACTCTGAGTTTTGGGGAAGTATGCCAAGACCTGCTGCTTCTTGGTATGTATTTTGTGGGCCTCTAGACATGCTGGTTTCCTATCCGGTTCAGGTATTTTCGTGTTTCAAGCTTCCGGCGCTAGCGCGTGAGCTAGCCTGGCACGAACACAAGGCTCGCCCTTGCTTTCTTTTGATCCCAAGAGGACCTTTGAGAGTCGCGGATGGGGATATAACTGGGAGTCCAAAACAGTTTTGCGAATTGCGGTGGCAGTCGGTAAGTGTGGATCCTGTCAGTTGCGTTTGTGTTGGAGAGGGTGCTGGAACGCGGCATGGCAGTAGGTTCCAGCGACTGAGAGAGAGAGAGAGGGAGAGACGGAGAGAGTCCTCATGTGTCGCGATGGGTCCCTTTTATAATTTGAATTGCCGGCGTTTGAACCCAAGGAGATGAGTTTCGAGCGCACCTCTTGCCGAGCCTCGCGCAGAGCCCGCCGCTGCACATGTTCGCTTCGCTGAGCCCAATCCATGGAAACTATCCAGCCTTTTATGCCTCTTGGCCTGAGTTCGGAATTGGGTTGAGTTGCAGTTGAAGGCAGAAAAGTGTGGATTTGTCGTATGCAATGCAATCAATTTCCCGATAAGCCCCGGATGCTTTTGTTGGGTCGGGCCCTTGGGCTGGAACGCGCCAAATACGGTCCCCGTCCCCCGCCCACCCCCGCCCCCTGCAATGAATGTTTCCTGAGCAGAAAAGACATATTCATCAATAGGGTCCACGTCCCAGGGCTGAACCCCCTTTCGGTCCTTGTGCAATTACGCCCCCGATGCCAGGCACAAAAACCCAAAGCTTTAAACAAACGGTTGTTTGTCGTGGCAATTCAAACTGTTTTGGAGAGCCCCCCCAATCCAACTGCAGTTGGGGTCAGGGCTTGTTTGGTCCTGGTTTTGTTCGCAAGAGATTCTGGCTTAGTAGGGACGGGTATGGATTTGGGAAAAAGAAACATGTTCATAGGGTGCAGGTTTGGTCAGTAGTCAGAGCCTTCCGTTTGCTGGCGAGAAGGTGTTCCCTAGGAGTTGTCACGAGAAGTCCTGGGCAAAATTTGACGCATTTTGTTTGCCGCCTTCAAAGATGTCGGTTGGTGCCTGCAAGTCAAAGCATTTTGTGAACCCTTTATTGACCATACACCCAAGCATGGTTCAACACTTGCCAACGGTCGCAACATTTTGTTTGCGGCTTCTTCCAAACCAACCTTGGGGCATAGCAAAGAGGGTAATGAACTGGCGGCATTCTGCTGACTGTTTCTGAAAGTCTTTGGTTCTGGTTGGTGGTTTCCCTTGTACTAGAAACATGGGGCCAGAGATGAATCGCAGGATTTCGCCTGGCCAGTGGTACTTTCGCGATGTCAGGTCTTGGATGTGACGCCACAGCGTCGTATCCACGACATCCACTGCTTCTGGGCAAACCTTTCCAAGGCCAGCCTTTTCCCACGCTTGGGTGGAGGTGGTGAAATCACCCCTCAAAAAAAAGGACGTGTCTAAAATAAGGGACCCCCCAAAAAATGGATTTTGGGTTCATTGTTGGTTTCTTCTGAAATCCACCAAAAAGGCGGCGTCGACTGCCAAAAAAAAAGCGAGTCACCCAGGTGGGCGTTTCACGTTTCAGAAACTGCGCTATACGAGAAATCTCAGAGCGACTGGAAGGTCTAGCGGGTCACTTGGGCAGATATCGTCTCTTCCACTAATATGGCACCCTGACAGGGGGTCCCTCCAAGAGGAAATCGATCTTCCAGGTACCCTCCTGCAGTTGCTATGTTCGTCGCCTGCAGTTGCTATGTTCGTGGAAGGGGCATATAGCGACTTGGGATTTGGCGTGTGACCCATGGAGGCCCCATGGTCTCGCGGGACCCGTCCCTCGCTTCAGATGCTAGGTCCCCCAGCTAGGTGCCCTTTTACCATTTATTTTTTGGGGGAGGGTTCCCCTACTAAAATAGACTACAGAAAAAAGGGTACCCTTAAGCTGTCTGGCCCAAACCCATTCAGCTCAGGGAGTGGCGCACCCAGGGCCCCGCTAGGCTGCTCCCAGCCGGTTGGGCGTCAACAAAGCCGGGTACTCATCCCTGGCAGCCCCGTCTGTGCCTTGCGCAGCCCCCTTGGCTGTGGCCCGTTGGTCTTGCGTTGCTTGGCGTTGGTTGCCTTCCTTGTGGCCTCCTTGGTTGCCATGCTGTCGCGTGACCCCTCTGTCCTGCGGGTTCTGGGGTCTTTGCCTTCTGAGGCCCTCGGTGCCCTGGATGCTCTTCTCTCTGAGTGTCCTTTCTTCCAGGACACTGACCCTTTGGCATGGAGGGGTGCTGCCAATCTGCACTTTCGGGTTGAAGCCATGACTGCCCCGTCTCTGTGGCGTTGTGCTCTGTTCTCAACGGGGCTCCCACCCGACTTTCATGCGACACCGCGTGAGTGCCGCATGTGTTTTGAGTTCGTGCTCCATGCGCCGCAGGAGTTTCAGTCCCTCCTCAATCGGCCCTTCGCTCATTTCAGGGCCAGGGAGGTGTGGCTTGAGCCTGGAACTATGCCCAGGGAGGCCCACGTGGAGCTGCACACCCCTGTGTGGGTGTATCCCCAGCCACCGTTTGAGGAGCCTTTGGCGGTCACCCACCTTTTTGCTGGGGCCTTTCATCCCGGTGGGTGCCTCGGTTCATCTCTGGACTGACGGTAGTGTGTTCCTCCCTCAGCATCCTTTCTTTGCCGCTGCTGGCTTTGCGGTTGTCTCTCCGTCTCGGGTCACTGTGGCCTCGGGGCCTGTCCCTGGCGTCTTTGCGGACAACTACAGGGCGGAGGTCTACGCCATTCTCAGGGCTGTCCAACTGGTCCGTGGCCCCCTTACGGTCCATACCGACTCTCAGTCTGCGGTCTCTGCTTGGGCGTCCTTTTGTTCTCTCAACCGGGTGCCCACCCATGTGGCCGCGGCTGATATCTGGCAGCTCGTCTGGGAGATCCGTGCGGCTCGTGGCCCTCATGGGTTCAGCCTTTCCTTGCACTGGATCCGTGGGCATGTGGCTGTCCAGTCGCTTACATGCCCGGTTGGTGCCATGCATGCTGCCTGTAACCATGCTGCTGATGTGGCGGCCAAGCATGCTGCTCGTGCCGCCCTTCGGGTCGATGGCTCCCGGCTGCACGCCTTGTTCTATGCTGCCTATCGGCGGCATCTATGGCTTCAGCGGTTGCTCGCTGCCCTGCCGCGTACCCGTGTTGCTGTTGCGGTCCCCTCTGATGTTGACGCCCAGCCTTCCCCCCTGCCCGGGGTGCCCCCCCCTGTGCCCCTTCCGGGTCCGCGCCATGGCCCGTTTGAGCTGGTTTTCACGCGGTCACCTCTTTCCCGGCCACGGGACTGGAGGGGTGGCGATGCTTCCTGGATTGCTTGGTGCAGCTTCTTAGCTCAGGCGCAGTGGGAGGTCCTGCCCGAGCAGATGCAGCCTGGGCTGGAGGTTGCCCTTGTCGCTTGGCGCCGGTTTCCGCGCCTCCTGCCTTTTCGACCTGGGCATGCGGCTACGGTGCGGAGCATTTTCAAGCGGCTCGGAGGTGCATCACGCGCAGGGAGCCGCTGGCCTTTCCTCGGGATTGGAGGCCCAGGTTGGGCCGCTTCACTGGGGTCACATGGCCTAGAGGGGCCTTTGCTGGGGCCCGCTTGGTCTGCTCGCAGGAGGAGCTCGACTTTACTTCCCGGGCCCGGGCTCGGCGTCTCGGCCGCGTGCCCAAGGACTGGGCCTTTTCGCTCGGGGCCTTGGCCTCATGGCCGGGCTTGGCCGGGTGTGGTGGACTGGCGGTGGTGGATCTACTTCCTCGTCATGCTCTTCGGGTGGTGGATGGGTAAAGGCCTCCTGGCCTTGTGCAGCTGCCTGGGCCCTGCGTGGGGGGCTGGTCCCTCGCTGGGTGCCCGCGCCTGTAGAGGCGGCCCTCCCGGCCGCCTGGGGTGCGCCGTCCGGCGCTGTGCAGATGGGGGTCCTGGCTTTCTTTGCCTCGTGGATGCCACGGCCCTTGTGGGTCCCTTCTGCAGTGGGGGCGCCTTTGGCTGGAGAGATGCTTGCTGGTTGCACCAAGTGGGGGGCGGGCCCCCTCACTTGGTGCTCCTGCGTGTGGTGGGTGCCTTCGCGGCGTGCGGAGGCGTCCTGGATCCTGGTGTGGGGGGTGGGTACCCCTCACACCGGGCCCAGGCTGGAGCCTTCTTCAGGCACTGCCCCTGTTGGGGCGGTGCTCTTCTCAGCAGTGGTGCAGCGGGCCCTGGCCCTTGCATGTGGTGCTGCCTGTGGGGAGCCTGCTCTCCGTGTCACAGCCCGACCGGGCTCTTTTACCGGTGGTGGGGCGGTAAGCCCCACTCACCAGCGCGGCCGACCGAGGATGCGCCACGAGCCAAAAGGGTACCCTTATTCTAACCTCTCTACTGGCGGACCTTGATAATGTTGGACCTTGTTTACTGCGGGGGTCCCCCCCCCTGAAACAGTCAGAACAGTCCTGGGGATCCTGAATAGGGATTTGGCGGGGGGCTTGGGTGACTTGAGTATTGCTTTGGTATTGACACTACTGAGTTTAGTATTGCCAGCACTTCCTTTTGGATTGCCATTACTTGGTTTAGTATTGCCAGCACTTCCTGTTGGGTTGCCACTACTTAGTTTAGTATTGCCAGCACTTCCTTTTGGGCTGCCACTACTTGGTTTAGTATTGCCAGCACTTCCTTTTGGGTTGCCACCCTAAGACTGGACATTAAACATGGTACCCAAACAGTGCCCCTTAAAGAGGACCAACCCCCCTTGTGGGTAACCCCCTTTGCAGGACTGTTTGGGGCTTGTTTTTGGCTGGATTTAAGTAAATAATTTTGATGGTTGGGGCTTGGGATCAAATCAGGAATTCTTAGGCTCAGGTCTTGGCCTGGTCCCTTGCTAAGCTTTTAGATTTGGAGCCCCTTTTAAAAGAAAGGGGCTAAGATGTGACCTGGAGATTCCTAACCCACCCACGCCTAAGACTGGATAGGCACCTGAGAAGTGCTATTCTGCATGTGCGTCCAGACTGGTGACTGTGTCATTCGGGCTCCAACCACCAATTGGAGGGAAGCTGGAAAGACATGCTCCTTTTGTGCCAACCAGCTCCACCATTTTCTACTGGTTGATTCCTCGTCCATTCTTTTCAGCCATGGTTCTTTTCAAAAACCGGATCCGTTTCTTTAGGGTAGCTGGGTGGCTTGCTAGAAAGAAGGATCTCTAGAAAGAACGGGGAAGTTACCCCCTAGAAATTTGGATGGATTCCCGAAGGCTACGCCCAACTTCAAGCTGGAGTACTCAGCCCGGGCGCACCTCAGCCTGCCAAACATCACCAATGCCGCGCCGCTTGGTCACAACGCCACCAGCGCATGCGTGCCAGTGAAGGCAATCTATCACTTCTCGAAATATGTTTTTTATTCCAGGGGTCAGGGGGCTTAAGCAAATGGCGGGTTCCAATTGAAACTTTGCATGTTGTATTGTGTTTTCCACGGGATCCTTTTGACCTACTGAAAGAGAAACATAGCCCTTGCTTGTGGAACCGGTTTCCGCAGAACATCATCAAGTAGAGGCCTTTGTTCAGATGCGGCGGTCGAGAAGGTTTTCAGAGAGCTGTTGAGATTGAAGCAGCTTCAAAAGCTGCACAGGGCGCCCAAGAATTCCCTTTGGTTGCCAACTAAGGCGAGTAGGCCTACGTTGGGTGATGTTGAAGAGAAAAATATGGGAGCCTTGCAGAACACGCGTGCCATTTGTCGAAGCACCCTTTTTCCTAGAGCCTTCACTGTCTGTTTAGGAAGGGAATTACGAAGTTAGAACAACCATTCAAATAGTTCCTTCTACCCTCCCACCCGTTAACATGGAACCTGACAGGGACCTCGCCCCTTTACAAGGAACTTGATCTTCCAGAACCCCCCCCCCCCGAACGTCATAATTGGAAGAGAAACTGAATTGGGAAACATGACAAACGATCACCTTGGAGCAGGACACCTGGTTGTCGTGCTAGGCGATAGGTGTTTTCCGCCTCTTGTGTGGACCTGGGACACCCGAAAATGGGTGCTCGGTGTTGCCTCCCTTTAAACGTCCGAAAGAGGGTTTCCCCATAAAGGACATCACCTTGTCAAGGGTTCCTGTTAATAAACTTAGTCCGATTTACCCCCGCGCCCAAAGTCAGGAGTGAGATGTGGTCCCTAAAGATTGATAGTGGTGCTTGCTTTTGCCGAGTTCCCATCCTTATCGAGGCTGGATGCGTGTATATACATATATAGATATATGTGTGTCTGTCCCATTTTGTCGGGACTCCTTTGAAGGACGCTGCCATTGCCATATGGCCATAGGTCAAAATCCTGTACCCCCAGTGAACATCCCAATCCAACCACTAAGCTAGGTTCTAAAATGGGTGGTGAATTCACCGACCAACCAAAATGGGATCCCAAAGCGGTGTTGACCGGCCATATTTTTCCGGGAACCACACCGTGGCGCCAGGTACCGGGATCTTGCGATGTCCTTCAGCTCGGGGTCCGTCATCGGCCAGCTGCGATGGCGGGCCTTCTACTCCGCCATTGCGGTGAAGACGCTGGGCGCCAGGGGCCAAAACGCGGGCGAAAGCGGGGCTTTTTCAAATGTCTGGGGAGTCTTCCATTTGGTTAAGACTAGTTTGTTGTTTCCCCCGGTGAGGTTAAAGGGAAGCTATCACTACTGGAAATATTGTTATTTTTCCAGGGGACTGAAGCAAATGGAGGGAATGGGGGTGGGTGTCGGTTTCCCTAAAAGCCATGGAGTGGGGGGGGCTCTCAAGATTTGTTGTGGTAATTCAATTTTTCCAGTCCAACATGGAATCTGAGTGAGGGATTTCAAGACCATTATCCTTTACGGATCCCCCCAGATGGGCTTTCAAAATAAGGGACATGGGGGGGGTTCCTTTAAGCCAGCATTCAGACAATTTGGAGCATGTCGTTTGAATACACCGCAAAAGGGGCCTCTTTTGGTTGTCTCTCTTTTTGCGGGTTGGTGGTGGTCGCTGTTCACGAAGACTTCAGGGAAACCAGCCATTTGGAGATTCCCTTCAATTCGGAGACGTGACAAGCTCATTTGGAGACGATGAAATTTGAATACCGAGCCAACCAGTTGCAAAGGGAGCTAATATGGGTTTCTCTCAAAATAGGTACCCCAAAATGGTTGGCTTGCTTTTGGGTTTCCCCTTAAAACCACCCCAAAAAGAGCACCCGGCACCCGCAAAAAAAGACACCCCCCCATATAGTTATTCAGACAAATCAAACACAACAATTTGAGAGCTTATCCAGGAGCAAAAAACAATGTCCCCCGTACAAGTCCCCGACGTGAGTGAATCGTTTGTTCAGGTTGTTGACTTGTGGTCGATGTACACCAATGCACACTCATTTGAAATCCTGAGAGAGGCTGACTTGTGTTTAGACCGAATTCTGTGGGATAGATGCCTATTCGCGGTCCCTAGAATTTTCAGGACTTGATGATCCCAGTTGCCGGGAGTTTGTTTTTTGGGGTTCGTCACTGCAAATTAATTTCAATCCTGGAGTTAGGTAATACGATCATATCTATGTTGGGTGGAGTTACCTAGGCAAGCGTCTAAGTTTCTGGAGAGTATCCTACCTCACTCTTTTAGTCCAGATGGATATGGTTGTGTGTTTTTTTCTTGGTGCCCCTTGTCGGTTTGACAAAAACACAAGGGACGTCGCCCATTTTGAAACATGTGATGGTGACGTCTTTCTCGTATCGCGATCTGAGGAGTTTGGGCCAGGAGATTTGTGGGGACAAAGTTCGCGATCCCACAGACTGCGCACGTTGCGTGGGCATATGCCGAGAACAGGCCGAAGCGGCAGATGATTTGCTTGTGTTGAGCCCGGAGTCAATCAGAACCTGTCGGATGAATGGAGGAGTGTTGCCGCAAAAAGGATCCAGGATCCCCTCTAAAATGGGAGTCTCACACATTAATCAACCAGTGATTGATTTTGCGTTCCGATTGTTCAATGTCAGACACCTCAGCTCGAGTCTGAGTCAAAGCCCTCCCTCTGAAGTCTGCTTTGGCCGTCAAGTGCCATGAAAGATGTTGCAGTGGAGAGTTGCGTCGGAGCACATGATAACCCATGCATATGACAGCACACGGGCGTGCCGTGCCTTTTTTGAGGGGCCCCCGGCCCCTTTTGGGGTCGTTTTAACAGGAAAAGCAAAGAAAACCCACCACTTTGGGGGTCCCCAATTTGGACACAGACCCACATGGGCATGGAAGCTATGACATGAAGACTGCACTTGCTACCAGGCAGTGTGCACTTTGCTCTATGGCCTTTCTGCCCCTTGGCGGCCTTGGATGTAGCTGGAGTGCTGTTGGCAAATTCGCTCGCCTGGATCCGACCCCATGTCATTGGCACAACCAACGAAGCCTCAAGCTGATGGTTTGCCATTCAGCAAATCGAGTCGCGACCTCAACAAAAAGTGATTTGGCGGCCTCAGGATGTTTGTGAATGAATTCAGACTCTCTGGTCAGTTTGGCGGTTTGATTCATTTGTTTCTCTAAGCCAGGCACTGAGGCACTGGGATTTCGGCTTACTTCCAGTCACCTGCTGCAATGTGTGCATTGGTCATTTGCGTATTCAACCCATTATGATTGGTTTCAAGGGCACAGCAAAAACATACCATCCATTCTGGGCCGAATTTTCGGAGACCATGCACCCTGCCCACATCTCTCAATCGTTCATTTCTATGTGGCCAGTGCTTAGTGGGAACAGTGCCCAGCCTGGGGTTCGCGAAGGGTGCGCCAGAAAATCGCAGAATGCCGATTGGGCTCAGAAACTTCCACTGGCCGCTAGTTTGGTAAGTCTAGAAGTGCCTTCGCAAAGCATTCGCACACATTGGGCTTGGAAACGGTTGCAAAGCCTCGTGAAAGCCATTCTACGCAGAGCATACCCAGCATCCGTTTCGCCTTGTCCCAATTTCTTGTCAAGTTTCAAAGAGGCCTTCCGTCAGGGCTGCAGCGGGTTGGAGGGTTCTTTTGTGCGAAGATACTGGAAGAGGGATTTCTGAAGTGGATTGACAGAGGGCTCAAACTTGTTAAATGCAACATGCAATTACCTCTGTCCAACTTGTACTGGAGATGTGCCAAAGTTGCACCCTCTCCTTTTGGAGATGATTGAAGGAACATCAAAGAGAACCCCACCAGTTTAGCGTTCCGATTGCCGACTCCTACTTATCGTTGGCTCACTTGCCCAAAGCGAGCTTGACCTTTGCATTTCCGCTTGGCAATGATTTGTCGAAATCCCAAAAGGTCATCGCCTTTATCCCGATCTTTTGTGTGGCGAGTGATTGAGAACGATCAGTTTGTTTCGATGTTCAGCTACCAGTGCCATCCACTTTTTCCAAAAGGACAACTAGGGTCGTGTATCAGGGGTTTCCGCTTTTGTGGTTGGAAGACAAAGACGGATTTGTGGACCCAACAACAACAACGCACCCTTTGTGGTTGAAACACATGGAATTGGTAGGCCAACATTAAGAGCCAGCCCCTTGTAAACGGTCGGGGATGTCTCAAACGGGGGTGCATGGCTGTGAGAAATTCGGTCGGGTTAGCTTCTGTGATACCGAGAAAGTCTCCTTTCACCCGATGAAATAATCGGCCGATGGGAAGACCCCCTTTTCCTGGCCACGTTGGAACCTGACGTTTCAGGGTCCTGGTTTGGACCTATTGTCCGTTAAAATGCATAATTTCTCTGGTGAGTTCAACCCATGGCACCGTAGACCGGAGGATTTTGTTCACTTTCCCATCATGTCAGCAACCTCCAAATGCCTATCAGCACCTCCCATGGCAACCTACGAAACCGTGTGAAGTTCCAGGAGCGCAGCATCGATTTCTGCATGAAGGAGCGGCTCTGGGAGCCGTCCAAGATCCCGCAGCCTTACTGGCTCTCGGATTTCCGGATCCTGGTGCTCGCGCTGTCACCTGGATCCCAAACATGGGAGGATGGGACTCGGAAGCCGAAACAAGAGCCATGGATGCGGAGATTTTGGGAGGGATATTGAGGGGCCAGCCACACATTGTTAAGGGAACTCTCTAGTTGCTGGCGGCTGCCTCAGTCGCCTGGGCTGGGCACGAAATGGGGGGTGGGTGGGGCGTGGGGGGGGGGGGGTAATTCCAAAACTGCGACCTTCTGTTTGCGCGCACAGACACACACATGTACGCACACGCCTGTGCACACAGGTTGTATGACCGCCTCGCCCTCAAGCACGCGCATACACACTCGCAATCTTTGCTGGCGTGCTTTTTGTCTTTCTGAGGGTGTCCACCAACATGCGGCAGGGTGTCCAGCCACATGTTGCGGCCAGAGCCATCATGGCTCACGGGCAGCATCTTTTGCTCTTCATTTGACCCACGTTGCGTTGCTTATCCGTATATTATCAGGCCAAGTGAGCAGCACTTCAAAGACCTTCTCCGGCTTTAGACATGTTCCGGGCAGGAGCTTGACGCATTTCGGGAAGAAGCTAGTTTGCGCTTGCCAAGGCGTTTAACAATGTCATGGTCCTATGATTGCAGCGATTTTGAGATAGCTCATTTCCAATCTAATGTTGGCCAGCAAAGGTGATTCGCGGTTCTCCGCTGCAGCATAATATGTTGGGCTTCGTGCAGCAGCCAGAAAGAACTAGTAATGGAGAGGGTTGCCTCTGATGCAATCCAGCGCTGTTCTGCTGACGCTTCTTGCTTGTTCTTGTCGTTTGTATTCTTTCCTCTGGAGAGGTCCCAACAGGAATTGAATAGGGACCTGTGGCCCTCTGTTTGTTCAGCTTGCTTCCTCTAGCCAGGGACGCGGGTAGTTTTTGTTTGCAGACGCTTCTTGTTTGATTTCTTTGGAAAGGCTCCACGGGACTGTGCAATTCTTCGTTTGGAAGGACCCCGCAGGACTTGGGTGGGGGTCTTTACGTTGCCTCCGTTTGCTACGTGCGTAGCTGTTGTTTGCAACTCCCTCTTGTTTTTGAAGAGGTCGCCAAAAGTGATGGATGGGGTTGCTTCTAATGCAAGCAAGGTCTCGCATGGTGATGTTTCTTGCTCTTTCTGCTTGCATTTTTTCACGGGACTTAAGTATAGGGGCCTTTGGGTTTGCCTTCACGTGTTCAAGTTCTTCCCCCCAGCTGGGGATGCGTGTTGCTGCGTGTTTGCAACTCCCACGGACATGCTCCCTCCGAACTGATGATGGGGTTGCTACTGAAGCAATCCAGCTCTGTCCTGCTGATGCTTCTTGTGTTTTTTTTTCTTCTTTGAGTAGGGACCTTTGGTTTGCCTTTGTTGGTTCATATTGTTTTCCCTTGCCTCCAGATTTGGTTTGCAATTTCCCCGGTCATGCGGGAAAAATGTCTCAAGACACGGGTAACAACCTTTCGTTTGACCCAATGTTGCTCCTGTTTTCCAGGAATCTGCGCATCATTCTTGTGATGCTGGTAATGCTGAACTGTTGATGTTGCGGATGCAAAAGCGTTGACCCTGTTTGCTCCTGTTTTCACGGAACCTTTGATTGGCCTCTAAGCCTGTCGGCTTTTTGTTGGCAATTTCCTTGCTCATGTGGGCAAGCTCGCCGATTTCATGAATAGTGCATTTGCCTGGACTCACAGAGCAAGAGCCAGGGGTCTGGTACTTGGAGGGTTTGAAGACCCCTGCCAATCCGCGCATACTATAATATATATATATATATGTATATATATATATATAGAGACAGATGTACAAACATGCGCACGCATAAACAGTATGCATACGTACGTATTATATATCATCACATATTGGTATGGGTACACTTTAAGTTCGCGCTCTTTGCCTGTGATTTGGAAGTCCGTCTTACAGCATGTTACTGAAGCATACCGTAAATATATTTGGATATGGGAGTCGTCCGAAAGGTCCTTGTGTTGAGATATCAAGGGGGAGGCCATTTGACCTTATGTGTTGCCTTTTCGAAAGCTCAACGATTCAGCGTGGACATCACGATGGTTTCTCCAGGCTTCTCTGAAAGTATCCCTGCAGACTGTGATGGAGGTCGCGAAAGCTAGTTTGTTCTTTGCGGAGATAGCGTTTCCAGGATGAGGTCTTATTTTGCCCAGGCCCGGTTTTTCTTAGGTCTGGGTGTTCTGGCCGGTTGGAAACCCGAAAGCATCTCTGGCACTTCCTGGAACAAGGCAAATTAGAGAACCGCGCTATGGTCTCGTGTGCTATGAGCCCCTCCAACCCGAAACCAACCTAGATCCACCCTAAACCGACCAAGCTAACCCCAAACCATCCTACTACAAACCTAAACCACCAGTATAGGTTGGTTTTGGGGTTGTTTAGGGCTTGTTCAGGGTGGGCTTAGGGTTTGGTGTGGGGTGGGTTTGGTTTTGGTTTAGGGGTGGTTAGGATGGTTAGGTTTGGTTTGGTTGATTTTTGTTTGGTTTGGGGTTGTCTTAGGCCAAATCCAACCCGAACAATCCCTACACCAACTCCAAACCAACCCTGAACAAGCCTAAGCCCACCCTAAGCCACCTTAAGCCAACCCTAAACTCACCAACCCTAAACACAGCCTTTACCAACCCCCTAAAACCACCCTAACCGTAAACCAGGTCTAACTACAACCCAACCACAGGACCTCAGCCACCAGAGGGATGTTTCTGGCCATAGCCATGACTATTGGGATGGGAAGGAGAGAAAGTTGTCAACGCTGGACCATTCATTCATTCGTATAATATCGTATTATATATATATATAGTTTATATATAAATATCATACACATATATATATATATATAGTTTATATATAAATATCATACATATAATTTATAGTCTATAATATAGTATATATGCATAAGTATAAATGATCCCATGCATACTTCGCCACCTAAAACCATTCATATACCCCACTCCACACGTACCTGCTACACATACACGCGTATGTATTTATATGGATACATGTATATTGTGTATATCTACGCACGCGGCTGTACACCATGTTGTCCACATAATCCTCAGCAACGTGCTCGTGCAGCGAAGGCTCATCTTCCTATGCCTCTCTTGCGTCCAATGCCGGCGCAAAAAGAACCTTGACTGGAAGAGCTGCGGGACGTTTCCCTTGGCGCAAAGGTTGAGGACAACTTTGTTTGTGGCTTTCCTGGATTAGGAAAAATACTTGTTTGCAACTTGCTTGCCTAAAGGAAACAATGGTCAAGCTTGCTGTTGTGCGGGTCCCAGGTGGTAGAAGAGGCCCATGTCATTGTCATGTTGAGCATTGGCAGTGTTTGGCCGTTGAAATTCCAGGGGGTTGATGAACCTTTCGCTCATGGCATAAGATCTTTGCAGATGGCAGCGTGGAGCAATCGCGTCTTGCAAAGGAAGCTGGCGGAAAATTCAGAAAGCTTGCACTTCGTTGGATGAATTTTCCTGCCACTTCACTTCGACACTGGTGGTGGGGCGGCTTATTGTGTTGCCTTGGATTCGGTCTTTAGGCCAACGCTGACGAATCGAGATCTGTTTCATGACCGGTCTTTGGTAAAACCTCGGCCCGTTAAACCGACGTTAGCTCTTTTGGGCCTGTTGGATTTCTTTTTTAACCCACGACACAGTTACATGGTGTGCACCTTGGGTCTTGCGCCCATTCTATTTGATGAGCTGAGAGACACCAATCACCCGAAGCACACATCAAATGCAAGACTACCCATTTTAGGAGTTTTCCTATTTGGAGACAACCCAGATAGAGCCTCGCGGTTCCAGGCAACCTACGCGAGTCAGCACGGCTGGGGTGCGAGCCAGCACGGCTGGGGTGGAGCTCAGAAGCATATGACGCGCAAGGAAAAAAAACGTGGAAGGTATGAGGAGTTTTGCTTTGACCCGAGCATGTAGTCCTTGGATTCCCAATGCCATCATACAGATTTGTACGGGACGTTCAAGCCATTCAGCATCGTTCACAAATTGGGTCAACTCGATTGGCAGTGGATAGCGCTTTGACCTTGGAGTTGTCATGTTTGGTCAAGGTTCAGAAAGTGTAGCGATCTCATGTGAGATTCCATCGGATGGGCCGTTGGGCATTTTTCTTTGGGATTTCTAGGTCCTTTGGGCGTCCCTGGTGTTCGTTGATGAGCTCAGCAGGGGGGAGTTCTGATAGCGGGAGTTGTGGCTGGACGACCCTCGTGAATGATGTTTTGTTTCTTCTTCTTTTTTCTTTTTTTTTCGGGAATCCAACCATATGACCAATCTATACACTTGAAAAGAGACTTTATTGCTGAACCGACCAGTCAGAGGTAGCGTTATAGCGACCTCCAAAAGGGGCTTCTCGACCTGGCCCATGAAGAACAACCTTCGATACGGTCCCCCCCACCCCGGTATTTTGCTTCGGCAAGTCATCTGCTTCGTCGCCCGGCACGGTCCAAGGGTGACATGGGAGGGACGCTAAAGGCTGAAGGTCATGAGTTCACCCGACAGCTTGGAGCAACTTAATGTCCAGAGGCTCCCAAGGATGGAAGCCGCACATGTCAGCGTCCCCACCGTTCAGAGCAGCCATAAGTTGTATCAAGCAACATAGTTTTCGCGAGCAAGCGCTTGAGAACAAACGTAGGACATCCTGCATGGGCCAATACTCTTAGGGGTGCAGCGCACCCATGTTGGGGGCCCCAGAATTGAGAGGCCCATGTTCTCAGCAGCCAAAACTACGTTGCTGAATCGGAGCGCAAGCTTGTCTCAAGTGGGGAAAATCCTCTTCAGGGTTCCAATTTGAGGACAGTAGACGAGAAGCATCCCTGACAAACAAAGTGCCAATGTTTGCAAGACACACCGCTTTGACGAATCAATGGGCTGCTGAATCTCAATAGGATGCTGGTCGCAAAACAAAAAATATTCTTATGCGTCAGCATCTCCGTCCAAATCTGGCTTCGCTGCAACCCTTACGAATTGGCATGGGGATGTTCAGCAGCTACCCTTCCCCCCCGCTGTTCAGCTTTAGTTAATTGGATTTTTGATTGAGAGGGGTGGCTTTTGGGAGAATGTTTTGCAGTAGCAAATTGCTTTTCTTAGGGTGAGCCATATTGGGTCGTTCAAAGGTTGGAAACGATTATCTTCTTTGGTTAATGCTTGAAAGGCAGACTTAAAAGTTGTGGTATTGAGTACCCAACACAACTGTCGATTAAGGTATTTGTTATTTTAGGGATGCTGGACATACCTGTGCCTTCAATACTCGGACACATGCATGACCATCAGAACAAGCAAAACCCGTACAAACCAATACCTGCCGAACAATTGCTTGCGATCTATGTCCGGAATGAATAGAAGATTGGTGTTGCAGCTGCACAGGCCACCTTAGTTTGGCGTTGGAGGACGTTTGGCACTTGGTTGCAGCTTCCTTTGCCCATTTGGTTGACATGCATGTGGTTTTCCCTAGCAACAAAGTGGCCCACTCTATATGGTCTACGTTGAATATGAGAAAGGATGCGCCATGCTTCGACTCGGCAGCTCCTGTACTACACTTGTACTGCAAAGTTGCGATTTCGAGCAGGAGGTGCTAAAGTATCCTTTACTGTACCGCACTTGTTGTACTGAAAAGTTGTGATTTTTGAGCAAGAGCTGCGAGAGCGCACACTCGCGTGCAAAAAACTGATTTCCAGCTGGAGCTGGCAAAGTGTAATATGCTTGTACTGAATTATTGCCATTTTCGAGCAATCGAAACTGGGTTGGACAGTTGCGATTTCCAAGCTGGAGCTGCCAAGCATACTTTGCGCACCAACTTGACAATTCGTATCTCTTGCAAGCATCCTCACGCGGGCGATGCGTTCTGCCACATTCTGAGAACTGACAGAGCGAGCTAGAGATTTTGTGCGTCACGCCTGGTTGTTTGATTGCGATGGGCAGGCCTGCAGGCATGCGTCACGCGTAGCCGAAATGCCATGTTCCCTCGCAACTTATTAGCCGCAATGTTCAAGTGACTTGCTGGGACACTGGTGGCATTTGGCATTTTCCTTCCGAGTTTGGCTCAGCCAACATTTCCAGGAAGCCCCGGGACAATTGCGTGCAGAAATCTGCCAACTCGCCCAATCAAATCAAGCACGCCACCAGGGGACGGTTTTTCCTCTTCCAGCTCAAGCCCCAGAAGCCACAGTTCAGGACGTATTGCTGACACTACTTAAATCGACTCCGAAGAGACGCCCGAAACTGCAGTAGGTCCATTGAAAATCTCTTTCCCGAGGCAGCCGAATGGCTTCACCATGCCAGGCTTGGGGAATCTGGCTCGTGCTGGGAGATGGGCGGAGGATTGCCCGCATGTCTGCTTTCTCAGCAGAAACTGGGGTTCCCTTGAAGGAAGCCACAGATGAGATCCAGCAAGTTTGTCCGACTTACTTCCTCCCTGAGTTTCCAATTGTTTTTGGACCTTCAAGCAGAGGTCTGCGCAGTTCCGGTTGAAGCCAGCTGAACCATCGCTTCTTGGACCTATGAAGGCTAAGTAGAGGGAAAAATATAGGGAGCCCTGCCAGGGGTTGCGATCATTGAAACCCCTGTTGGCGTCCGAACCCAAATTCTGCAGAGCGGCCTTTGGGTCTGCCCCAAGTGCGCTTTGGCTTCCATCTTGGATTTCCTGACGGACAAAGGGTGGAACCTGAGCCCTTCGAGAAATGTTTGTGGGTGTGACGGGCTCAGAACTAGGAACTGGGCCGAGCAAGACCCACAAAAACAAGATGAGTTGTGGTTAAGCTGAGATCAAGCAACTGGGTGGCTGGGGCTTGGCTGGGTACCTCGGCCGGCTCGCTGCGTGAAGGGGAGCTGGGGGCTTTGAAGCAGCCCAGCTTCAAAGTCGACCCTACCGCAACACGCCCCAGACAGGGAGAAGTTTGGTTCGTTTAACGTGGTCAAACCATATGAACCGATACACACCATCCGGGCAAAGGCCATTCCAACGCTGGCAGAACGCCAGCCCAACACTGGCTTCAAAATGATATTTGTTGCGCCTGGCTGCAAGAGTTGGCCAGGGCCTCCAGTTTCGGTTGAGGGCCGCCCGAGATTTTGGCAAGATATTTCCAGTTGTTCAGCTTGTTCCTTTTCACGCGGTTTCCTTTAAGCAACTGACTAAAGCTCCGCATTCATCCTTCGTTTGGCTACCAAATGGATATTATTTGTATGTTTTTTTGTGGGGAAGTGAGACATCAAACTACAAGAGTTGGGTAGAACGGTTGCCTCGAAGGTCACTGGGCACGTTTCTTTGGCACGTCAGCTTGAAGCACGCCAACAGCAGAGTCATATGGCTAGGAGCAATGGTTGATGGCTACAAACAAAAGGGGTTCCCACTTACAAGAACAGTCCCACACCAAAGTCATAGATGGGTTCGATTTGCGCTTCGTAGGGCAAAGGCAACCCTGTTTTTTGGGAATGGAAAGGAACAACGCCCTTGCTGAGTTCGCGAGGATCCACAGTGTGTCCAAGCTCAGGTGGGCTGGGTCTGCTTGCAGCCTAGCCCGGCGGAACGGGAGAGGCCGGCGGAATGTTGCTTGAGGTTCAAGACATGCTGATTTACGAGGCCAAGAGGAGAGCGCGGCTCTGTTTGCCGCACCCGCGAAGGTTCTCTGTGGTGTCATATGGGTGTCCCTTATTTTCGGGTGTCCCTCATTGAGGGTGGCCCGTATTTTGGATTGGCGAACTATGGAGCACCCAGACTCTTACAGGGGTGCCGACTCGTTAGTCATGTCTTGGAGTCTTGGCACAGAGCCTCACCAAGATTTGCCTTAGGCAACTTCAAGCTTGACCGGTCCAGTCAAAAGCCGGAAGCAAGAGATACGGTACAAGATTCAGTTGAGGGAGAGATTGAGCTTGCAACAATACTCTTGATTCATGCACTCCTCCTTCACTGCAAGTTTGAAAGGTGGAAGGCGTCCCTTGATGTTCGGGATTTTTTGCGTTTTGAGTGAAGCTGTGTGATAAAACCTTGGCGATATGTGGCCGGCACCAAGAAAAGGCAACCAGTTCAGTTAAACATGGGCTATGGGAGCAGCTTGGCTGATCCTGGGACATAGCTCTTTGACTGGGCAAGAGGTTTGCAGGTTTTGCTTCCCTGCGGCCCACAAACGAAAGTTACTTTTGCAGGCCCATGTACATGGGATTTGTTCAACGCTGGCCTTTTTCTTGTTGATTTCAATGAAAGGGCACCCCTGAGAAGGTTTCTGTCCAGCTGAGGTCGGGAACAGGTGCCATGCCTGGCATGGCCATGCCAGGCGCGGGGAAAACCGCGGCAGGTGTGCGGATCGCGAACGGAACCCCAAAGGTATCTCTAGGGGTTGATTCTTTTGGGGTGGTTTTCCATCGTTCTTTTCAACCACTGTTTCTAGGGGTTGATTCATCTTCCATTATGTTCAACCATCGTTCTTTTCAAACATACCAGCTGTTTCCCAGGGTTTTGGGCGGTTTGTTAGAAAGAAGGATGCCTGAAAAGAATGGGGAAGGTACCTATAGAGTATCTGTGCTTGAGGTTCCCTTCCAAGGTACTCTCAAGAGGTTCCCCAATGAGCTAACGTATTCCTTTGCACGAAGAAGGTAATTACTCTCCGGAAGAGGTTCCCTAGACGGCACACTTGGAACGGCTTCCACACTTGAAAGGCATGGTCTTTGAGGTTCCCTTACCCAAAAAAGGTAACGCCTCCTCCAACACCAGACGCCCATTTCGAGGCTGACCTGTCCACGTGCCCCACCATGGTCCTTTGATACCCTCTTGATTCCCATGGTGGACCCTAGGGAATTTAGACTACCCATAAGAAACGGTGAAATGAGCCACATTCTGTTGGATTTGAGGCACCCGTTCTGCAGGGGCGTGGGGTTCTGCA